CTCTCTCTCTCTCACTCTCTCTCTCTCTCACTCTCTCTCTCTCTCACTCTCTCTCTCTCTCACACACACACTCTCTCTCACACACACACACACATCCCCCTGTCCTCCTTCATCTCCCCTTCACTCCTCCCCCCTTCTGTCTTCTGTCTCATTTATTAATGTGTATATGCACTTCTCTTTCTGATCGTCGGACCAAACTTGTACAGCACCCACGGAATAGGCATCAACGCAATGGTCACGAACCCGAAGAGACTTGTGGCCCAGTGTACGCCGAGAGCTTGATACCTATACGGAAACTCCCCCCGGAAAAAAGGGGGAAGGAAAAGTTAGCCTTTGTCGTGACACGATGTCATGGATACGTGATCTGCCGTATCCTGTATCATTTGACTCTTGCTCATCGTTTTCTCTTTTTTTCTTTCTCCTAGAAACCAGCCAGGGACAAGTCGAAACAGGGTGAACTTACATCTGTACAGTAAACAATGGAAATACGGCACCAACCATGTACCGCAAAACTCCATTTGCAGCAGCGGCGCTGGCACCAGTCATCTAATCATTTCGCAAGTTGAATCCGCGTCAGTAACGGGTTATCCTTTCCCAACACCCCAAGAAAACGAAAAGAAATGACAGGTACGAGTTTCATGAAGTTCGTGTTGTTGAGTCTTTTGTTCCCGGGTAGGGGGGTTGCGTGCTGGGCTTAGACGACGGGGGATGCAATATAACGGGGGTTCGCCATCGACCGACATGCGGTAATCGGGGGCGTCAAAACAAAAGTAGGTGTAACAAGCGTGAAAGTTGAGACTTACAGGCCCATAAGTATCGATCAAGTATAGGACGGTCGAGGTAAATACCAACAAGTTCCCGATTCCGAAAGGGATAGTGGCCAGAACGGGACTGATCCAATGTACGTCCTTTCGTGCGCTCCACCTGTTGAAACGTAGCGATCAGCAAAGTCTCCAGTCGGCAGTTTAGTCCTGTCATATATGACTTTGTCGTCTCAATGGCGTCGCTCTGCCCGGCTTCCTCAATTTCAAATGCAAAAATGAAACGCATCGGACTTACCCAAACCAAAACAAACCGACCGGCAACAACACACTCCCCAACATGGCCGGCCAGAGACGTTCTTCAGGTGGCAAGGGGTTAAAATCTCCCGTTGCGCGCCTCTTGAGCGTCTTTTTGCGGTACATTAACCTGTCCATGACGATGAAGATGGCGCCGGCGATTATGACGCCCGCGCCTATTCCCAAAAACACCAAGCCGGACTCGCCCTGGTTGAAGTCGTATATACGGATCTCGGGCACTTCGTGCTGGAATACCAGTGGGAAAGCAGCAAAAAACCCGAAGAGGACGCTGAAGTTGAAGGCGACGTAGATGCTCAGGAACGCGACGATGCTCTCGGTGAAGAGCATCTGGATCGGTCTCAAGATGGTGACGAGGAAAATGAAGCGCCACTTCGACATGCCGGGCGGCAACGGGTTCGGCGGGCCAGGGACGCCGAGCTTCTTCGCGCGCCGCTGGAGGATGATGCGCTTATATGTCTCCCGCTGTGGGATGCACACGGCGTACGTGATGGCACCGGCGAAGAGGATCACCCACTGCGTCCAGCGCCAGGAGCGCTCCATCGTGACGTACCCTCCGATCGCGGGGCCTAGGGACGGTCCCAAAAACGGAGCGACGAGGAACATGGAGCTCGCGACGGCTCGGTTGAAGTGCGCGAATAGGTCGCTGTTGGTGCCCGCGCCCACCGCTAGACACCCCGAGCCCAGAATACCTGCCAGGAGACGACAGATGACGAGGCTCGCGAAGGAGTTGGAAAACCCGGCACCCAGCGTGAAGAGCAGCGACGGCGGGAAGAAGATTAGGTACACCGCTCGCCGGCCGTACGTTTCGCTCAGGGGCGCGCTCATGACGGGCCCCAGACCGAGACCCACGACGTAAACCGTCAAGGGGAGGATGGCGGCGGTTCTGGATACGTTGAAATGTATCGCTATCTCGCGAACGGCTGCACAAAGAAAGAAGAAAAGTCAGAGGCTGGCTAAGACGATAAGAAGGACCTTATGTTGGAAGACAACAAGGTTACATACCGGGTGAGATGACTGACGATCCGAAGGTACTGTTTCATGAATAATGTCAGCGAATGTTCCGTATCTCTCTCCTATACATAATCTCTTGAACGCGCGGAAAACGGGCGAGTGCCTTGGAGATATACATACATTGTAAAGCACTGGAACGCTGGAATGAGAACATGGTAGATCTTCTTTGCACGACCCCAATTCAGTGGATTATCAGGGTCGTCGTCGCCGGTCCAATCTACCGCTGAAGTGATTTGTTTCTCCCACTGTGACCGATTACTGCGATGTGTTCTCTGTGTGGATTTTGTGGTTGTCTTTTCGATGTCGCCACCTGTAGGTTCAGCGTCCACCACTGGGACAGAAACAGCCGAGGAGGATGACATTGATTCGTCGTCCGACTTGTACGATGGTTCATTCTTTTCGAGGTTTCCGACTGCTACCGGTTGCTCTACCATGTCGGGATGGAAAGAAGAACAGAAAGTGGATGACTCGTGAGGCTGAGACTATGAGGTTCTCTCGACTGAGACTGAGGCGAGGGAGGTATCCCACTTGTGTTGGATAGAGGAGAGCAATGACCTGACGCGAGGACAAGACTGAGCCAGAGAACCGATGCTCTAGTTCTTCAATGCCACGAGGTGATGACAGCGCAAGACAAGACTCAGCAGAGCAGCTTTTGGATTGTCACCCCCTGAGCTCGGGTATAAAAAGGACTGATTCTCAACACTCGCCCTTCAACCTGTCGTCTCTTCGTGAATAGTTCCCAACAGAAACAATCTCAGGACACAGTGTTAGAACCGGTCTCCACTCGACGTGTAAACTTGCACTATCTGTACGGATATGCAAAGGTGATGCCGACGCTCAAATTCAACGGGCACAGGCAAGGAAGGGGTCTGAGAATATGTAGTCATATTCTGGGAGCGCCCATTGTTCGCCCTCTAGAATCGAATCCCGGCACACGGCCGAAGCGTTCAAGGCAATGACAAACCGTGCTTTGTAGGCTTGTACGAGAGGGGCGTGGTATGCTGAGAAAACACCCAAGCCCAGGTAGAGTAGTTAAATTGAATCCACGTAGCCTGGTCGTAAGACGAGAAGAATCAACCGAAGACAGAAGTATAACCGTGCCCTGTTTAGTAAACAGAGGAAAACCATCACAACTGACATCACATCAATCAACTCACCAAGAAAGAGGAGACAAGAAGAGCCAGGAGATAGATACCTTTCCACCGGAGGTACCGCCGTCACCGTTCTCTAGGGTTTGTTCGTCCCTCGGTTGGCTGGCAGATGCGACCTGGGTGGCTGTCCCAAGGCGGATTCGCAGCTGCGGCCGCAGCTGGATAACAAACCTTTGCAAAAATGGCGAGATTCAAAGTCGGAAAGGAGGCTGCCGCCACCTTGTATGACCTTTGTCATTGGACCATTTGACTCTCGAGCAGCAATCGCTGCTATTACTCGGGTCTTGCACGACCAAAGGAAAATGAATGCCCGCCATTTTTGGGATCAGTAATCAGAATTGAACTTCTGCAAGGAAGCCAATGTACGACTCCCGAGTACAATAGTGTAGCTACTAGTTAGTGCCGAGTGCACTGAGTCACCGTACTCGTACGGGCGTAGTAATGTCGGTGGTGCTGGTGGTGGTGTTAGCCGAACTGATCAGTAAACATTGCCAAGGGTTGATCCTGAAGTCGTGGGCCAAAGGGCAAAGAGAAAGAATGAAAAGTCTCGAACACTGGGTGATATGATGATATAAAAAGTCCAGAAGATTAGATGGATGGCGGTGTTACATATAAGCAATCAAATTCTCTCGTCAGCAGCATCGTGTCTTTGTTCATTTGAATGCCGTCTTACTGCTGTACTAAAGTCAAAATCGCCCTAGATTGCAAAAAAGGTGCGCGTTGTGGTAAGACTACGGTGAACCATTCAGACTAAAATGGCAATTCGGACATCAACCTCGAGGGGACTGCTTGCCAAGGCACGTGTCACGTGCGGGTCACGTGGGTGTGACCGCGGCAGGCGCCTATCGCCTCATTACTCTTACCGAGTCCATATTTCATAGCACAATCAGACATTCTAGACCTCATCTCCCTCGCTCCACGCAGAGCCATGACACTGCTCTCTGGTTGTTAACCACCACTCGCATCGCGCAATTCACTGAACTCGTACTCGTCTGAACTACGAGTGATGACCAAGAGGTGTCGTCAATGAGTTGCTTGGAGACATACAAGGTACGACTGCGAGGACCGTCTAAGATCTGACTCTAAGGGTGATCAACCCCTCCGTTCTTTAGCGCTCCTGCAAGGTATAGCAAGTCTCATGGATACGCGTAATAGGAATTCGATTAACCCGAAAGATAAAATGCAAGCAATACCTTTGCTGCTTTAGCTAGACGGACTCTCCAGGGTTGATTCCCATGCGAGACGTTGTTTCCCCCTTGTTCCCTGTCCAGCCGTTCATTCAATCAATCAGTCAACATGACTCGTCCTGGCACTCCCTCTTATCAGCGCAGGAAAAACCTTTGCCCGCCCATACTCATATTGTTCTGAACTGGTATATTGCCTCATATCTGTTTCGTAATGTTTCCCCATGCCATTCAATCATAATCTGGTCAAATCAGCAGTCCATTTCCGCGCAGGGCCATCTCCTAAGTGACTGTCTTTGCTTGGCTCAATGGGTCTCCATCATCGTAGTCTTCCCGCCTCATGATGCTCTCAACTGGACCGAGGAGCCGCTTAAATCCATCTCGTCCCAGTTTGGCCACCTTTACTGCGGTTTTGGCAACGACGGTTGCCGCACGAGGTTTGTCGTCCAACAGTGCCAATTCACCAAAAAAGTCGCCTCGATGGTAATCCTTGACCGACTTGTCGATGCCTTGCTTGAAAGCATTGGCTTCACCAGATTCCAAGAGGTAGAAAGCATCGCCAGGCTCTCCCTCTGTGATGATCTTGTCTCCTGCATTGAACTTGACAGTCTCCAAGGCGTCTGCAATCTTTGATCTTTCATAGGGTTTGAGTGATGCGAGCAGGGGAACCTCTTCCAGGAAGCCTTCGTACATCTTTCGCTTCTGAAAGGCATTGTCCATGAGGATTCTGCGGAAGGTGAGACGATCCAAAGCCCACAGCATACCTCCCTTGGAAGCGCTGACAACTGTAGCCGCACGAGGAGCATTGTACATAAGAGCCAATTCTCCAAAGCTGCCACCGGGTCCGATCGTGCCGACCTTGTTGCCCAGACCTTCCGGTCCGGCTTCGACTGAACCACTGGCGTTAATGTAGATGTCAAAATCTCCGCTTTCAATCACGTAGAAGAAGTCACCTTCGTCGCCTTGAGTAATGACTTTGATGTTGGGAGCCGGGATCGACTTTTCGACCAAGGCATCCAAGACCAAGTGGAAGGATTCTTCGTCAAGACTGGAGAATAAAAAGTTGCCGGCCACCGCATGCTTCAATCTCTCATATTGATCCGGTGACTTTGCATGCTTGGGTGGTTTCCAATTGCCCGAGTCCGCGTCTGGCTGCATGGACTCTGCTGAAACTGAGGTCCTCCGACCAGCGGCATATTTGCCAGTGGGGGGTTCAGCAGCAGGTTGTTCTCCGGTCTCTTCGGTGCCTTGTGCACCTAACCAGTTGCCGAACAATCCTCCTGCAGCACCACCTCCTCCGGCAGCTCCGAAGCCAGAGCCGCCGAAAGGTGAGCGGCCTGAATCGCGAGACTTGAACGTGGCGTCGGTTGGGGAGCCAAAGTTGTCACGTTCTTCGTCCTCCTCTTCTATGCTGTTGACGTTCTTTGCTCCGAAGGGGTTGCGGTCAAACGGACCGGCCGTGTCTGCCATTTTACCGTTGGTATTGGATGATTTGGAGGCGCGAAGAGATGCCCGCTCGGATGCGAGCTGGCGAGAGAAATAATTCGCACAGTATTGAATGGGATCGTCAGGCTGGTCTCTGAGCAGGTCTTTGGTTAAAGCATCAATGACAGCTTGGTAAGAGGTGGAAAGTGACATTGAAGGCGAGGAATCAAGGTGTGGGGGAGATTCGGCCGGAGATGGACTAGGGAGTCGACGATAGAGAGGAGCGCTTCCGTAGGGCAAGTCAAGAGTGACCTGCGGGTGGACGGTCGTAAGTGGCGACGAAGAGAATAATGCCTATCCCAGAAATGCAGGCTGGCCCGACACTGCAGCGTCAAGTCAGTGCCAGTGCTCACTGCTCAGTACTTTGATTGATGCTCGTAGTGGAGCGGACCAGGGCTTGCTACGCAGGCTTGTCTCGGGGCGGGGCTGCACGAGATCGGTAGATGACGCACTAAAGTAGAGGGGTGAGATTCTGGAAGCCTTCTGTAACAAGTGATGGTGGGAGTTGTCTCGGGTCGATGAGAGGAGGTTGGAAAGAAGAAGAGAGGAACAAGAAGGTCAAGGGAGGATGATGAGTGAAGCAGAGGTCGAAGAGAGGTCAAAACACTGTTTAGCGTTCAGCTTCGTCTAGGATCTTCCAACAACAGCAGCTGCCACCACGACGCAGAGGGAGACAGAAGGAGCTACGGGTGACGGCAACACGGCGAGCTTGGAGCTTCAAGCGAGCTTCACCAAGAGAGAATCAAGCTGGCCAGCTTCTTGTTGCTATACCAATAATAACGAGGGTATTCTGCTCCTTTTCCCTATGAACCTGCTCTTCTTCTCATCCCGAATTCCTCTCTCTCGTGCTCTTTGTACCCCTCAGTAGGAATGTCAGCGACGGCCAGTTAGCGCAGGGCTTGAGGTGCTGGCGATGTCATTGCTTCAATTTCTGGCGGTCAAAGCGACCAAGTCTGAGCGTGGTGATTGGCCTCCTGGACTTAGCCAGCCTTCGCAGGGTGACGCCACCTGGTCACTGGTCTGTCGCTAGATACCTTTCTATCTGTGTGAGTTCTGAGGACGAGGACAAGGACAAGGAACTACGGGGAGGCCAGACAGGTCTCTATCTCTACGGGGTTGTACCCTCGCCTGGAAACCATTCAGAAAAGGCACCGTCGTACACTCCGCCGCAAGTAGGTATCGTTATGCAGCTTTATCTTGTCTAGTTGATAGTCTGCGTCCGAGGAATGATCAACCCGGGCTTATTAAACATCGTGTGGGATGGTATGCGAATCACTGGATCAAGCCACAAGCGCCCTACCATCAGCACCACCCGCCTCCTGTACACCCAGATCTTCGTCTTCGAGAAGTCTTCTAGAATCGCACGAGAACATTTCCCATCACATCGCAGTACTCCGTATTACTATGTATTAAACCGAGCCCAAAGATGATGGCGTGCACAATCCAAACACAACTAACTCGAGGGGATATCTACAAGACAAACAAACCCAAGTCGAAGGATCCGCTGTCCAGACCCAGCAATGCGCCCGTGCCTCGCAATGCACTTCCGAACCCCCCCGTTCCCCTGCACAACTCGCTGCTGCGATTACACAGCTCCTTCAAACAATCCAGCTCCTGCGCGTCGTCTGTTATGTTTGAGCCATGGTTGATTCATCCAACTCCATTTAGTCGAAGATCTTCTTGAACAAAGAACTGATCCGGTGCTTCTTCTTTTTGTCCTTTGAGGCTGATGCAGGGCTTTCGGCAGGAGTAGTTGTAGCAACCTTCTTGGGAGTGCTAGTGCCAGATGAGGGAGTTGCTGCTGCCGTCTCCTTCTTCGGTTCAGGAGCTTCTGCTGGCACTGCCGGTGTTTCTGTCTTCGCGCTCTCCTTAGGAGCTTCCGCCGCTGGCGTCGCCTCGGTCTTTGCGGCCTCGGTAGCACCTGTAGGCTCGGCTTCGTTCTGGTGCATCATACGAACAGCAGGCTCATCGGCAAGAGTAGGATCCTCAGCGCCATCCGAGACTGCAGCTGCTGCGCCTGTCGTTGATGTTGGAGCAGTCTCCGAAGTGGCTGCTGCGATTGTTGGCGCGGGTTCCCCAGCTTCCTCAGCCTCCGGCACCTTCTTAATCAGCTCTTGCTCCACCTCTGCCTTTTCCTTCACAGCCTCAGCAGAAGTCGCGGCTTCAGGGGAAGCGTGCGCCTGTTCGATGGATTCCTTTACAACTTCTGGGACAGTCTCCGTTGTCGCCTGCTCTGGAACTACGGTGACCGGCTTGGGTTCTTCCAGAGGTACCTGTCCAGCCAGAGCGGCTGTCGTCGACGTTGGGGCAGCGGATGCGATTGTGGGACCAGTAGCATCAAGCGCTGAAGTCGCACCTTCGCCCATGGGCAGCGACGATTCGGGAATGAGGTTCTCTTTCTTCTCCGAAGACGCTGTGGCAGCGGCGACAGCGCCAACACCAGGTAGAGCTCCTCCAATAATCGGAAGTGTAGTCCCCGCCTTCTCATAATCTTCCTGTGACTGAGTGACGGCGGAGTGGATGCTGTTGGAAGTGACCTCTCCTGTCGGAGGGACTGCTTCGCCGCCAGGGAGAGTCACAGGGTTCCCTGCTCCAGAGGTTGGGGGAAGTGGGCTAACACCAAAGGCCTCCGGCTCCTGCTGGGGTGTTTCGGGGAATGCACCTGGCGGATTGCTCTTTGCACCTTCGTCATTCGGGGCAGATTCGCTGGCCGGAGTGACTACGTGCACAGAGCAGTTAGGACATTTGTCGCAGTTCGCGATGGACGGGATGATTTCAATCCCAACTTACCTTCGGTGGCTTCTTTCCTTGGTTCCAAGGGAACTGCACCGGCCAATGCTGCCGTGGTGCTTTCTGGCGCAGCGCTCGAAGTAGTCACAGCCTCGGCTGTCGTCTTGATGTTTTCCGGCAGTAGAACATTGTTCACGTTGCCATGGCCGTCATCCTCGTGGGGTGCTTCGGTGTCGATGACCCAGTTGTCGTTGACCACAAACTTGTACAAAATCTTTTGGTCGGCTTTGGGCAATTGTACCTCTTTCTCCCAAATCTCGCCAACCTTGTCCAACTTTTCCGTCTTTCCCCAGTCGTCAAAGGTGCCTGTGACATGGACATCGTTCGCATCAGGATGCGGCCTGCCAAACTAGTTAGCTGACTGGATGCGACGTCGATGATCGCGACAACAGAAGGTCGGGTCGCGAAGGGGTTGGGAGTCCCTCGAGTGCCCAGGGTTCGTACCATCTGAAAACAAAGCTACCCATGTTCGTCTCTGGGACTGTGAGCGTTGATGACAGGAAAGACAGGTGAGAAGAACACGAGGGGAATTGGGCCAGGACTATGGCGTAATGTCAGGAATCTTCTCAGGCGACAACTTTTCGAAAAGCTCGGACGTGCGACGCTCAAGCCTCTTTCTGTGTCGGACGGGGACCAGGTGATCGATAGACGATTCAATAAATTAGGTTAGAAACAACTATCGGGGGGGTTTCACGATGCGTAAAAAAGGAGCGATTGAAGCACAGCGCAGAATCAAGAACACCAGAGTGCAAATTGTTTGTAGAGGCAGCAAGGGGGAAATTGATTGAAAAGCGCAGTGCAGTGCGGATGGATGGCTGACTTGTTGGTCGGGGAATTTCTGCGGCTGGTTGAGTTCCCAATGGGCGGGCTGGAGTGAGGGTGATGAGCTTCCTTCCCGCGGCTTTTCTTGGGCAAAAAATGGAACTGTGGCTGGAAATAGGCGCAAGAAATGACGCTGGATTCAAGAGCTACTTCACTAGGCGCTGGTCCTCTTGCTAGTGAAATTGCTCCCGGCGTCGAGGTAGCGTTTTGGAGGGCTGGGGGGGGAGGGGGGCTTTGACTAACCTAGGCACCGTGTAGTAGGCTTATTGGAGGTTCCATTAGGGCTCGTTAAGCATATATCTCTAGGTACACCGTACTCGTACAATACCTACGATACCTAAGGCCACCCACCTGTAGGTTGGCTGTAGGTACGGAGTACTGTAGTACCTACAAGTACCTAGGTAGCAGCGGTGTTACGTAAGGTACCTCCGTTGAGGACACCCACAATGGAGGCTAGAATTAGGCACTCCTTTGACGATTCGTTCCTTACGTACCTAGTTAGAGTTGTGCTTGTACAGTATGTGCGAAGCCGATCGCATCTCCGTCATCTGTCGACATACTTCTATCCGATTCCACGGGTTGGGGAAAGTCAAACCCACCAGGAGCATTGACGCTGGACTTTGTCGTGGAGTAGTATATCATGTCTGTATCTGACTACAACTGACTCTTGAGTACGAGTGCTCACGCGACCTCCATACCGCATGCTCTAACTCGGTCCTCCTCCACACAGGTCCTGTTCTCACGGTTGGCTTCTATCCTTATTGACCTCGTCCGCCAAATTCCCCGTGCTTCTCCCCATCTTCATCTCCTCTCTCCACGTCGTGCGTTCTTCCTTCACGATTCCAGGGCCCTTGTACACGCTCCCGTACAACCCGCTGGCCCAGCCCTGGCCCTCACGTCCCTTCTGACTCTGCACGTCGCCCTTCTTCGAGTGTCTGCGTCTGTACCACTTGCCGTAGATCAGCAGGTAGTACAGCCTGAAGGACAAAAACGCAAACTTGTCATTCTCCAGATCTTCAGGGTACTCGGCGCCCAGGTCCACGGCGGCGGCGATGCCGGCCATGATTGCGACCTCGTGGGCGTTGACCATGGTCCAGCTGCTCGCGTACCTCACGTGCCTCTTGCCTTGCAGGAACATCATCCACGGCACGACGAACAGGTAGTGCGTGTAGCTGTGGCACAGCTGGTGCCACCAGTCCTTGCGGATGATCTTGGCCTCGTCGATCTCGGCGTCTGTCCAGAGGTGCCCGTCGCGGTCTTTGTTCAGATAGATGGTCTGGAACACGTGGTCCTCGAATGGGACGTTCTGCGGGAACTGCGCCTGGTAGTTTGTCGTGTCGAAGCACATTTCCAGCTTCGACTGGTCCCTGTCGTACATTTTGATATAGTACATGGGCCGGAAGTTCTCGCGCGCGGCGTCACAGCGCGCGCTTTGGTCCGCGCCAGATAGACTCTTGGCTGCCAGGGACTCGTCGTAGAAGTTCTGATAATGCTTCTTCATGTAGTCCGCGTCCGTGTGCGTGATGGTGATGTCGTCGGAGAACTTGGCAGACCCTAGAACCTTGCGCTCCCCCCACGACGAGGTCCGGTCCAAGACGCGCTTGGCCGTGTCGGCGAGGCAGCAGAGGACGAGTTCGTCGTAGTGCTCTTCAAATGTCGGCGTTTCGGCGTCGCCACCGGCCGGGTTGTGATGGTCGGGAGCGGGGGTGCGCTTCTTTAGCGAGACGAGGACACCGGATTTGCTGTCGCGTTTCAGCACCGCGACGAGCTCTGTCGAGAGACGAACGCTGACGCCGCGACCGACAAGGTCTTTGCGCCACGTCTCGTAAAACTCGGAGAAGTTGGGGAACACGACCATTGGCGGCATGTTGGACACTATGCTCTTGTCGTCGAACGGATACCACATGCCGTACGTAGGACTCGTGCAGAGGCGTTCGAGCATCATGGTCGGGACCTCGGGCGCATAGTTCCCCGTGCCCAGAAAGAGTGCGACCATGGGCAGAGCCACGACGTTTGTGAATTCCTCCGAGAACATCCAGAGCTTGAAGAAGACCTTCATGGGGATGAGGGCGAACAGGACCTCGAACCAGCGCATGAACCTGAGCGCGAACGCGAGCCGCTTGACTTCCTTCTGGTGGCGTGCTGTCGATTCGGTCGGGAAGACGTTGGTCCAGAACGTCTTGTCTCGACCAAACGACACTTGTAGATTGACCGGATCGGCGTGGTATCCTTGTCGAGCGAACATGGTGAGTGTGTGGTGGAAGATGTAGCTACCTCCCTGGACGCCTTGGTTGAACCAGCTGGCCCCGTGCCGCTCTTTGTCCAGGGGCACCGCAAACGCCTGGCCGCCGCAGTAGTCGACCGCGTCGATGAGGGTGATGTCGTACTTGTCCGGGCTCTGGCTCAGGTGGTGGGCGCAGGACATGCCAGCAGCACCGGCGCCTACAACGAGGACTTTCTTGCGACGACCAACCCCGGGATTCAGTGGCTTATCAGACATGCTGTCTCTCTCGACGTCGCGATGGAAGGACGCACCGCTAATGCCGCTGTCATCCATCAATCATCCCTCGCTGTGCAGTGAAGATTCGCAACCTGGGAGAGTTGGAAAGTCGTCCAGGACGAAGACAGTCCATATCACAACCGAAGGTACAAGTACAACATCCCACCGACAGGCAAATTGTGACGGTTTCTGATGGTCCAGGTCCATGACCGCTGCATTTACATCTTCGACGTCACGATGTCCGCACAGATGTTGATCCATCATGCAGCCTCGTCGACGTCGGGATCTGCTGGTACAGATCTCGCCAATCGCTGCAAGATGCACCAATTAGACAGGGCGATGGCAGCCGTTGACATCATACCATAGATACACTTTTGTGATCAAGAGTTGTCTACAACTTAAGCACTATGTATGTAGATATACACAAGAGCATCAAATTCCTTGTGCCTATTTGCTCTCGACAGCTCAGCGCTACATATTATATCGACGCTCTTCTCGGTGCCATGGCCCGAAGAAGCTGCTTGCCCTTCTCATCGTTGTTTGCAGCCCATGCATCGATCACACCGTCCAGTTCTCCTCCATTCTTCAAGCGAGCCAGGAATTCCTTCGCGTAAGAGTGCCCTATCTCGACAATCTCTTGGAAACTTCCAAACTGCAGTGTCCCATACGCGTCAATGGGCGGCCTCATATACAGGCAGCCCGGTGTGTTTTTTGCTCTTTCCAGCGCATCCACAGAACTTACGTACGCCAATCGTGCTTGGATGTCACTGAGTGTGGGCGGATTTGGTATGGAGGAGAAGGGATTCCAGCGGTTCAAAAGTGCCCAAAATCCAGACAGCGTATCACCATATTGCTGCGGTGTATCATCGTCCAGGCTACCCACGTCCACGGCGAACACGAGGTCTGCTCCCAGACTCTTCATGTGAGCAACGGTAAGATTGTCGATATATCCACCGTCTAGGAGCATGCTACCGTCGTCACAAATTGGTGGAATTAAGCCGGCCAAAGACATGCTTGCACGGACGTATCGCCATGCGTATCCCGACGTATGAATCTCCGCTCTGGACTTACTAATGTTGGTCGTGTTGCAATAGAATGAGAGCCAAAAGTCTTCGATCTGTGAATCGCCAAAAATCTTGAAGATACCCCGGTTGAACTCGTGGCCCGTCGTGTACGAAGCAGTCGGGTAGGTAAGGTCTAAGGCGAATCGCCACATACTACCCATTCGACCTGCAAACTGCTTCGCTCGGCCGAACATAGGTACCGCGTCGGCGTCGCGCGCGTAGAGAGCACCCATGAACGCTCCGATCGATGTGCCGCCAATTATGTCGATGGGGATGCCAGCCTCCTCCAGAGCTCGGATGACTCCAACATGGGCTATACCGCGAGCACCCCCGCCACCAAGGACGAGGCCCACAGACTTGCCGCACAGTCGTCGTGCCAGCCGATGAAAATCACTTTTGAACGGTGTCTCTGTCGAGTAAAGAGGAGCTTGCCGAACTCTCCTTGATGTGTACTTCTGTATCTCCGCTTGGATGACCTGCACTCTCTGCTTAATGGCAGTTCCAAGTCGCCTAGGCTGAGCATGAGGCGTAGCTTCAGGACTGACCCGGAAGGCCATCTGGAGGTGATGGTGCCCCCCATTGATCCACATTCGATTCCTCAGCCACTTCCTTGTAAGTCCAGGTTGAACATATCGGTCAACATGGAGAAGAACAAGATCCTTGCGGGCTGTCGTTTTCATGCCGAGCAGAAATCTCTCGTACTCCCCAATGCTGGGAGAGGCCTCAGCTAGCCCGACCAACAAGATGCAATCAGCTTGCGCAATGCAAGTCTGTGTCCACGGAGCGTTGACACTTGTATCAGCAACATAGAGCAGCATGCCGTATTTTTCTTCGAGATCTGCAAGATATTGAGACAATTTCAGCCGACCCATTCGACTAAAAGCGTGACGCCCAAGATGGTTGAGAATGATGGCTTGGTTCAGTAGGGAGACACCGTTTAGAACGCCGACCTGACTCAAGGCAGCCAACAGTCGATTACCAAACTCGATCACCGGCACTCCAGCCGTCACTGGTAATACCGCTATGGTCCTTAAATTGTAATTTGACGACTGAGATTCGCCCACCGCAGCTTTCTTTCTCTCCTGGCCCTTCTCCGTTGATGGGGCCTCCACCAACGCTCGCATTCGTTGAGCTATAAGTTTTGATATCTGTATCGTGATTGTCGGGTGCTCCTGGGCAAGACTGTTGAATAAGCTCCTTGGGAACTTTGTGAGTTCCGTGTCTCGTATTGCATGTAATGTCGCCGGTCTGGTTGCATCTGTCATGACTTCGAGTTCTCCAATGCTCTCTCCCTGGCCATATTCGCCGGTCACCCGCATATTGCCACCATCAGCTTCGCGGACTGCTCTTAGTCGACCATTTAGAACAATATAAATGGCATCACTATCATCTCCTTGATGATGTATGACCTGGCCGGCATCAACTTGAACCCATTCCAAGGCAAAGTCGATGTGAAGGATGAGACGCGGAAGCAGACTTGTCAAGCGCTTAGCCATCGTCAACAGAACAATAGGATATCTCTCCGCAACACGTTCCAGAGCTGCACGTGGCAGGAATCCCACGTACACATCTGTCTTGGCCGTGACATCAGTGAAAGAACGGTAAGATGACAGAGTGCCGATGTATCCCGCGATGCCTCCAGGCTTTACCAAGAACAACGACTTTTGGACCATTCGCTTCCCTTCTTTTGACTGACCAGGACCACCTGGAATCGATGAAGCCCGAGAGGTCGATGTTTTTGTGCGCCGTAGTCGTGGGAACGGCTCGTCATGACCATTTGTGCTAGCTCTCGATGGATAAGCCATTTTCCTTTCCTCCTTCTCTTCGACCGGGATACTGACGTCCAGGAATCCGTCGATAACATAGTAAAGACCAGGGTTTCTCTCACCCTGCTCAAGCAGAACTGATCCTTTGGGAAAGAAAACAATCTCCACATCATCGATCAGTTCGTCATGGAGAGACTGGCCGTGCAGGCCACTGACATTGGTTACCGACGTAGACACTGACTCGGAATCACCGTCAGCCAGCTCGTCATAGGGGTCGATGAACCCGAATGCGTTGTTGAAAATCGCAGTCTGTCTTCTTGCATCGTACGAAATGAGACGTGGGCTCTGTTCGACAGAAGCAGCTCCACGCTTCAACGACTGATTAATAGGCTCGCTGAGGCCGAGTGCCTTGGCCATGCATTCCAAGATAGACTCCCTGAACAAGCCATCTTCGGCCACAGAATCTTGTCGATGGGGTATCTCACTGCCGAATGGAGAAAAGTAGGCCTGCTCACGATTTGCCATGGGGCTACTGAGGTCCAACTTTGATGCTTCGGGGGCACCCATGCCCGTCCAGTTGGAAGTCGATCGAACGTGCATGCTAGTTGGTCTCTGGCTGGGTCTTGAGCTTCCGTGAAGATCACCAGAACTAACATTTCTATCACCCAACACTGGACGTGGGACATTCGGAGTCATTGCTAGTGGAGGTCCACGGGCAGTAGCAGCCCTGGCGGCGATAGCAGCTTCCCGTCGTAGTCCGCTTGACGACCTCCGCCTGCCTACAGAGGGATTGTGCAGTGCGATTCCTTTGGTCAGCTCTTCCGGGCCGATGCGATCCCGTTCTTTGGTGAACTTGTCCTTCAATCTGTCGAGGGCGTTCCCTCGCAGATGGTTGGGCAGATCAAAGCTCGTAAATCTGTTCATTGACTTCTCAATCTGCAGAACCTCCGAAGTTAATCCTAGGTACTGGTGAGCGGTTGACAATGTTACCCGATGCAGTCGTGTCAAGATCACCTGGACTATATGAGCGGTGGCTTTGGGATATACTCTCGTCAATCGACGAAAGGCGCTTGCTGGAATGATCGCAATTGTGGTGTCCACTGTAGCACGGGCAACAATGTCAGGGTGTGCTGAGGTTGCCTTCCTCCGATTCGCTTCAGACTGTGGGTATTCGTGCTCGTCAAAGGGAGGCTCAAGAGTCAACGGTGGGACCGAGGGCAGTCTTTTCCTATGCATATGACCTGGAGGGCCATGGGCTGCCACAGCTGGCGTCGATGGCTGGGTTGCAGGACTAGCAATGCCTGACTCGGGTGTATGAGAGGTGCTATTATGAAATACTGCGGCAGTAGGGTTTCCGTCGTCGTGGCGTAGCTTTACATCTTCAGTGAAGAGTGACAAGATGGAGAAGAGAGAGGACATGGACGCTCCATTCTTGACTTCTGTAAGCAATTGGTATCCTTGATTGCCTTCATGGTACCCCTCTTCTTCGCCGAAGAGGTCTATTTGCTCAGCACTGTCATCAGAAGCGTCCCTCAGCGACTTGACAAAGATTTGGACAAGGCCATCCACGACCAGACAAAAGCCCTTCTCTTCCTCGAGCAGTAGAGTTTCCCCAGCAATGAGCTTTCTAGTCTGCATTGTCCTCGTCAACTCATGGAAGACGGGTCTTTCTAGGTATCCAAACACCTTGATTGCACTCAGAAATTCATCGAGATAGTTTGATAGCCCTGGCTTTGAATCTCCTTCTTGAGTGTCTGGGAATAGATCTAACTGCGGCTCTTTTCTCTGAGGCTCCTGCGGCAGACGAGTGTATACATTGAGGAAGCGATAGCGAACGAACCAGCTGATGGTGGAGACTATAGCGAGAACGATCAGGAGCCTGGCATACAACATGTCAGCTTAGCACCATGTCCCGCGTTCTCCCTGCTTACAGTGTGGTGAAGTTCATGGTGAAAGTTAGGCTCATGGAGAACAAGGTGAACAACCATGTTGGCAGTGTAATTGTTGTAAACGTAATGAGCCAAAACAGACCCCCTGGTAAGAATGTCACAGCTCCCACAAGAGCACGACTGAAGCCCGAGGACGAACCTCTGCCCGCAACTTGGTATCCCAGTGGTTTCATGGAGGCAGAGAGGGTGGGAAGCGAGGAAGACGTATGCACGCCCATCGACGATGCCGCATTGGATGCCGAAGAAGACATTGTGAGGACATCTGCAGGTCACAAGGACCGGTCATCCTTTTCCACTGTCTTAGCTTGCTGGACTCCCACAATGCAGCATAGTAGTGGCAGTCGTGGAAGACTAGAGAAGAAAGCGTGCAGCCATTGTTGACGGGTGAACACTGCACGTGAAATGAATAACGCGGAGGCCATATCCGAGGCTGCTGCTGACTGCTTACCTAAGCCAGCCAACTCACAGCTTCCACAAGCAGCCTATGTGTAGGGGTACCTATGGGTGAGCTCAAGAGCCTGGTTGACATGATCCCATGTGTATACCTATGTGGTCCATAACAGCTAGTACATGCTCAATCGAGAATCGTTGCTTCTGTGCTCACTAGAAAGTAGGAAAATCGTTATCGCCTCTCATGCACCAGTCTCCCTCCAACCCATACCCGTGCTACCGTCCTCGAGTCTCCATTCCACAGCCATTTGCCGATTCGGTCTTCCCAAGATTCCCATCCGAATATGTCAACCGCTGTATCTTCGCCTTGGCCGTCTTCGTCGACTTCGCCCAAGGTGATCTCCTGTACATCCCAGAGCATACCCTCCTCAAACCCCCCGAGACGACCTTCCATTCCCACAACCTTGGCTCCACCCATGGTACCCAGCCACAGCGACTCGGCCACACCAAGGTTATACCTGCTGTCTCCATTGTTGAGGAAGCCAACATGCCTGCTCACGATGCAAGCATTTCTCGCCGCGTCCAGAATGCTCGGGTTGTATCCTCCACTGACGTCGGTACCAAGACCAACTTCGATCCCTTGGTCCAGCATCTCCCGCACGGGACAGAGTCCGCTGCCCAAGGCACTGTTGCTATCTGGACAGTGGCTGATCTTTGAGTTCCGTTGCTTGACCAGACGCATCTCCTCCTTGCTCAGATGTACGGCGTGTGCCAGAATGGTCTTGGACGTCAACAGCCCATGATGATCGTAGACATGAGCGTAGCTCTCTTGATCGGGAAACAAGTCGCGGACAAGCTTGACCTCATTCAGGTTCTCAGATATATGAGTCTGTATTCTGAGGTCCTCATCCTTCGCAAGTGCACCAAGTTGAGTCAAGGTCTCTGGGAGACAACTAGGCGCGAATCTGGGGGTAATGATGTGTGCTAGGAGTTCACCAGACGGATCTAGGTCTCTACAAAATTTGATGCTCGCTTTCGTGTTCGCTATTGTCTCTTCGGTGGTCTCGTCTCGGTAATAATCTGGACAAGTCTCCGGCCTGTCCATGCATACACGTCCGATATATGCCCGTTGACCTTTGTCGAAGGCAATTTGCGCCAGCAGATTTGTCGCTTCCACGTGGATAGTGGCATAGTATGAAGCGGTAGTGGTGCCGTTGGCTAAAGTACGGTCGATAAGCCTGTTGTATACCTTCTTCGCCCGGGCGAGCGGATCTGGAGGCTCGACAGCGTCCTTGTACATGGGAGACTTGACATTGCCGTAGGAAGACTCTAGAGGAAAAGTGTATTGTTGGAGCCAATCCAACAGCGTCGACTTTCCGAAGATTCCAGCATTAGGATACTGCGAGGCGTGAATATGTGAGTCTGTCCAGTTATCAGCGACCCCATCCAGCATCAGCCTTGCGCATCGAGAACGTGCCTATGAAACCCGGAAAGAAAAAGCCACTCTCCTTCGCTATGACCACAGGCGCATCGACGCCGAATTTGTCGACGGCATCACCAGGGCTGGTGACAGTCCAATCTGCTTTCTGGATAGTTCCTCTACCATCACTGCTATTGACGAGAACAGCTCCAGTTCGAATTTGAAGTGTGGCAGGTGTCGGGGTCCAAACAAATCGACCGTAATAGATAGTTTCTTGCCCCATCCTCTATTCTCTATCCCACAGAACTACCAGCTTCTTGAGAGACAAAGACGAAACGAAAATTCAGCAACTGGGACAACAAAGAAAAAGAGGAGACTATCGATAAGGAGTCCAGAAGCCAGGTCACGAACAAGCTCTTATCTGAATACGAGACAGAAGGAAGTAAAAGTTGGGGAGCCAATAGAGCGTCGCCAGAAAAAGCTGTCGGAGAGCGCCGATGGCTTCAGCCTGTTGTCATATACTTTCTAGGTGTGGAGGCAGCAAATTTCGAAATCAATAATGACCAACAAGCCAAGTCAATGCGGCCAAGTCAGAGAGCCCTCAGACTGGAGATTGCGACAATGATGTTCGGGTGATCATCAACAACATGATAATTGTCATTGGCTTACTCCATACGCTACTCATCGTCGTCGCTGTCTATAACAAAACCACCTCTAACCCGCTGTTGTCTTACAATCGGGACGATGTCCTCGTCACCATCGCTTCCATCATCTAGTCCACCTCCACCATTCTTTCCCGATGCACCTCTTGAAGCTACCCTTGGCTGGGACATCTCCCGCAGTACGCTCTTTTGGTGCCGGACATCTCTGACTGTGGCAGAGCTCTGCGATGAGAATGGCGTTTCTTCTTCGCTTTCAGCCTCGGTATCAGACCTCCCCTGAGGCTGGGAAGATGCAGTCTCATTGGGTTCGTCGTCCCTACCACCCATCAATATGTCATCGTCGCTCTCTTGTGTGGTCTCTTGGGTTTGTGGCAACGCAGGCTTCGTGCCTTTGCGCTTCCCTTTGCCTTTGGATTTGGTAGATTGCTCATTGACGTACGCCGCTTGTTTGCGAATATGATCTTCCGCCGTCTTCTTGCGCAACTCCTCCTCTCGCTCGAAAAAGAGCCTGTCCCTCTCCGCGTCGCTTTCGTCATCACTATCCCTGATGTATGCCTCGCTCTTGATCTTGAGCCGCCGTTCCCTTGCAGCGGCTTCACGAGCAGCTCTTCTCCGTGCTGCAGCTTCTTCATCGAGCTCGTCCACGTTGTCATCGTCATCTGACCCTCGCTTTCTTTTCCGACGCGCCTTGAGCTCTTTTAGAATATCTTTGGACCTCTTCTTGCGAGGATTGTCGGGGAACAAAAATTCTTCGTCGCCTTCCGAATCGTCAATAAAGGCATCCCGGGGAGCATCCTCTTCATCTTCGTTGCTTTTCCTAGCCTTGGGTTTCCTGCGTATCATGTCCTCGGCATCCTCATGTGCGTTTTCTGCCTGCCATGGCGTTTGCTCGTAATGTTGAATAGCCTTTTTTGACTCTGCTAAATCATGCGAGCTTACACTCGAAGGTACAATCCACGTTGCACCGAGCACATCTTCATCACCTAGTCGTTCAAAGCCGACCAGAGTCATTAACAATCTTAGCCGTGCATTCTTGAACATGGCTGTTTTGATATCCTCGGAGGCCGCCTGGATAGTGATGCCCGGTGGCTGGCCGATGTTGTCTTTCTCAGACGGAGGCCCAGGCTGCTCCTCAGCTACTTCGGTGGGCGCTCCTTTGCGGGCTTCTGCTTCTGCTTCCCAGGCATGTCTCTCGTCGTGTGCTTTTCCAAGCACATGTTTGGTCCATTGAATGAGCTCATCTTTCCCGTCTTTCAGCAAGACAGTCACAACGATTCCGATCTGCTCTTGGACACCTCTCCCCTGTGCAGGTCTGATCTCTAGTTCTGGAGGTGCGCGAGTTGCCGAGATTGTCTGCTTCTCTTGCCCGAACTCCAGATAATGTAGCGTCGAGCTTATTTTGCTAAAGAGCAGCTCGATAATTAGTTCGGGTCGCTGGTCAATTTTCTTGAACATCTTTCTGAATAACTGCTTCGTGAATTCAGACCATTCCTTGAACATAGGATGCTTTGACTCAAGACCATCAGGACCATTCATCATCTTGTAGAATAGCGCAATGATGTCGACACGATAGAGCAGTATACCCATATCCTGCTTGAAGGCTACTCGGTAGAAGAAACGGTGCGCCCTCTTGAGTTGTTCTGTGCCGAGATCTTTATAGAACGCCGTCAAAGCAACGAAGGTGTTGACTGATGCTTGGGTGGAGAATTTCGCCGCGAACCGATGGAAGTCAAACTTGCGTTCTTTGGCGACTTGAACCACGTCTGCAATATCTTCATTTTCTGACTCTTCGTCCTCCGCACTGGGATCTGCCCCAGGTTGAGCCGCTTGTCTTTGAACCTCTTTGTGTCTCTTTTTGGCCCTGCGTCTGGATCGTATCTGTAGGTCGACATTTTCCTTAGAATACCTCTCCAACATCCGCAAGAAAACGTGAGATAGCTCAGTGCAGGCGTCCAAGTATCCGAATCCTTGATCCTTGTACTCTCTCAAGATCCTGACAATCCTGTCGTGTGTGGTCTCTTCGTAGAATATTCGGTTCTGGATGTTGTCCGCGATCTCCTGGTCCTCTTCGATTGGACTTTGCGCCATTTCTTGGACAGTTAGAAGAATTTGGGTAAAGCAGCGCATGCTTGCGTTCAGATCCTGTGCTTCTTTGTTGTCCAAAGAGAGTTGCATGAAGCGATTCAGCATGATGAATGTTTCCTGATTCAGCACAGCTGCTACGAGGGAATAGCTCTCATCTTCAAAATCTGTGCGGACCTTGTCAAGCTTGTTTTCCTTCTTCTCTCTCGCTCTCCGGTTTCTCTCCGCATCAAGGAACCATGCCACAGAGTAGAAGAATTGGCGGTAGTTGACTTCTGCTAGGCGTTCTGCTTCCCTCTCGATAGCTTTCCTAAGATGAGTGAAGAATGGATTGAAACCGGAATCTAGAAATTCCTCCACAAAGTTGCGTAGCTTCTCGGCAGCTGAGTCAGTGAGTCGCGCGGTATGGTCGAAATCGTGGATAGTGTGTTCAATATCTTTGCGCTTCTGTTGTGGTTTATTCCACTTCTTTGATTTGTCCATATTGAAGAACGCTTGCTGGTCATTCTTGAGATTGTCCTGGCCAGAAACAGCAGACATCTTTTGGTCCTCACGCTTAACCCAGATCATGGTTCCAAACCGGCCATGTCGACTCCATTGGTGTCGTTTGGCGTCTCTGGTTTGGCTGTCTTCAAGCGCTAACGCTGCTCCAAGCTCAGTGATTCCGTGGCCTTTTCGCTCTTGCTCTGTCATCCATAATCGCTTCGGATCGACACCTTTGATGAGGTTGAAGATGATATCTAGCACAATGACGTCCTGAAGGTTGAAGTCTTCGCCCATATTCGAACAGATCGTCAAAAGAAGGGCAAACACGTCCTGATCTCGAAATGCCTCTATCGTTGCAGAGCGAGAGACTTCTGAATCGAGGCCCTGACTTGGTAGATTCGGGAGCTGCTGTATAACTGCTAGATTCCGGAAGAAATAGAGCATGAGTTTGAGGATACCTTCATCTCGAGCCGTCCTATCGGCTCTCGCGATAGCAATTGAGGGTAGGCCGATACGCACGACCTGTCGGAGGATACTGCTAGTATCACATCCGAGAACCCCAGCCTTGTACAACACCTGAGCCTGCTGAAGATATGGGGTATGGCGATGGTGATTCGAAGTCATTTCTCCTCCTGTTTCCAAGGGCCATGTCAACGGTACCAGCAATTCCAGACACGCCAATGCCACTCTTGCCTTCAACTTGTTGTCCTTACCATCCTCAGGCCACGAGGCAAGGATTGGTATGAGATCTCCTCCCACAAGATGGGCTTCCGCGAGACATCGTGCCACATCCAAGCGATTGTTCTTCTCGTCGTAGAACTTGAGCCAGCGTTTTAGGTCGCGCAAGCAGGCAAGGGCATCGTCACCGAGCACGTAGCGGCCGTCGTCATCGGTGCTGCTTCCACCAAGCTAGACGGAGTTAACGAGCGCATTCGAGCATGAATCAAGTATACGTACAGCGTTGACAAGACTGTAAACATAAGCTCTAACTTCTGGATGAACAGTTTGGGCCTTGGTGAAAGGATTGCCTTCCTCCATATTCTCATTCATGGCTGATCATTGCATTATGGTGTCGATTCAGAAATGCATCGTAGGAACGTGAATGCACATGCACGTAGTTCCCGACATGCAAATGTTCGCGACGCGTCTTGCTGGGGCACGCGTCGAATGGGCCACGCTGGGGAATGCCACTAAAGGGCTTTGCTTATGTCATCTGCGCTGACCAATGATGTGTCTTGATCCCTTCGGTTCCGACATTGGAGCTTGAAGGGGAAGCACCTCGGCTTTCCGCTTAGTGGCGGCAAGATACAATATCGCATGCGGCTACGAAAGATCTCCGGCTTGAGGCCAGCGACTGTCTATCAAAAATAGTACAAAAGCAGCCTAGCCCTCGCTGTATTCCTCGGAAAGAACTTCTCGTACAAAAGTCTTCTCCTGCAAAGTCTGCTCATGGCCTCGTTATCGAGGTTGTCGTCCCGCCTCATGTCGTCCTCCCAGTCCGCGGGGGCGGCCCAGAGGCTGTCCGCATTGAGCCGCCAGTTCTCGAGCACACCCTCGACACAATTCGAGGTAAAGAAGCTCGGTGTTGTTGGAGCTGGGCAAATGGTAGGCTGATCCATCTACTCCTTAACGACGCCCTGTCACTGACCTCCATCTAGGGTCTTGGAATCGCCCTCGTTGCCGCCCAAAAAGCACAAGTCCCAGTTACTTTGGTCGATAACTCGCAAGCGTCGCTCGACAAGGGCATGGCGTTCGCCGACAAACTTTTGGCGAAGGATGTATCAAAAAAGAAAATCAGTGAAGAGATCGCCAAGGCTATACGAGACCGGTTAAAGCCCACAACACAGATGTCGGACCTCTCTGATGTCGACATGGTCATTGAAGCCGTGCCCGAGATTCCGTCCTTGAAAGAGAAGATTTTCGCGGAACTGGCCCAAGTATGCCCGAAACACGCTATCTTGGCGACGAACACCTCTAGTATAAGTATTACCCGAATCGCACGAGCAACGTCGAAGGATCCTACAGACACATCAGCATCCTCTCGGGTGGTGTCGACACATTTCATGAACCCGGTCCCTATTCAAAAAGGTGTGGAAATTATCTCAGGACTGCAAACTTCCCCGGAGACCCAGGCTGCAGCGATTGCATTCTGCGAAAAGATGGGCAAAGTGGCATCGGTATCAATCGATAGCCCCGGCTTCCTTGCCAACCGAATTCTCATGCCATATATCAACGAGGCCATCATCTGTCTTGAAACGGGTGTTGGAACCAAAGAAGACATTGACAACATCATGAAAAACGGAACGAATGTACCCATGGGCCCATTAACACTAGCTGATTTCATTGGATTGGATACTTGTCTGGCGATCATGGAGACACTACATGCTGGGCTTGGTGACAGCAAGTATAGACCAAGCGTATTGTTGAGGCAATATGTGGATGCTGGTTGGTTGGGCAAGAAGAGTGGGAAGGGTTTCTACGACTATAAATAAACCAAACGCTCGTTCAATGAGCTTCAGCATTTATGATGGCTTCGTCCAAGCAACCGAAGGTGCCACTTGTATAGAAAATCATCCCAGGTGCCGATGACCTCATGAGATTGGCCAACGTTTGTGGTATGCGTCACTGTTCAAGCAAGCTCACAAGCAGACCTCTCCAGATATAAATGGTACACGAATCGAGGAGAGCAAGAGTGTGCGCGACTTCCGCTCGCCATCCTCGGCCTCGACACTGATGTCGTGCTTATTCATGTGAACTTTCTCCTCGGTGTTTCTAGATGTGGCGCCTTCCCAATATTCTCGGCTCCAGTCAGTCTTGCATTGAACTCATCCAACTTGTCAAATGGAAGATCGAGAAACTGGTGCTTATTCTTCCATCGGACCTCACTTTCAATAAATGCCTCCGAGCTCTCTCCTGGTGGCGGCGGTGGTTCGGTGATTTTTGTGATGAGATATGCCGTGCTTGCCTCAGCAATACCATATATAAGCACGCCAAACAGGGGCACTTTCACCATGACTGCGAACGCAGCACTGAAGCCAAACAGCACACCACTTCGATCGATGAACCAAACCTTCTTCTGCTGCTTCGTGAAGCGAATTCGGTGGAAGTATGGTTCAAGAAGGCGGGACATGAGGCTCCTGCTTGAAAAATAGGTTTGTAAAAACGACACCATGTAGTGCTTCGGCAAAATGAGGCCGGTGGCGAATACGATACCCGCTGGAACAGGGCCAACCGCTTTGTTGAATGTGTAAAACGAGGCCGCAGGGAGGACAAAGGGTCCAACGAGAGGCAAGAAGGTACAGGCGTATATGGCGAGCGAGATCCCGGCTCGTCGAGCATATTTCCCAGCTGTGAGGATGACACCGTCCACAAGGCCGCGTTTCTCCTTCTTCTCTCGTTCTCCATGAGTTGAATACATTTTAAGAGTAGGATAGTACATGGCTCGCAAGGTTGACGGGTCTTCGGATTTGTGCTTCTGGACATATGTCTGGTCAACCCATCGCAAGGAGTCCATGAACAGATTGTCCAATGTCGGAGTTACCGAGCTCATCACCATCATCAGGAAGAATGGAATTTGAAGGACGGATTTGGAGATGAAATCCAAGCCGCCGACTAGTTTATCGTCCCATGTTTCCTGGTCCAGATTGACGACAAGCGAGACGATCAAGAGCAGAAACTTGACCGCGTAGATCGGGATGTTGATTACAATACGTATGGCAAGGCCAGCACATACGGCAATCGCAGCTTGCCGGTAGTGAGAGGTCGTGAAAAGCTCCGGATTTTGAAGGGCTCTATGAGCTCCAACTAACGTCAACTGGGCCCCTCGCAGTATCGCATTTGGATCAAAATTCGACATGTTCGCGGGAGTAGGCTAAGGAATACAGCAGTGTCACAGCACCTGTAGTCTCTGCCGGTGTGTATGATTGGGGGACTCGCAACGAAGAAGGTAGAAAGCCACCAGGCACACGACATTTCGACCACGACGACCATGTACGCCCGTTATGTCATAGGGCGACGCGGACTACGAGGCTGTGCTTTTCCAGTCTGGGTGCACGAGGCTGAAGTCAAGCACGCCGAGTACGAGACAATGACCAAGCCGAGGGACAGGCCCCTGGGAAACAACGCCTATCGCTATCGATTGATCCTTGCGCAGCTACAAACAGTTAGGTATGTTGTAAGTGCAAAAGAGGCCGAGCTCCCTCATACACGCCGTTTGTTGATGTTTGGATGGTCCATGTCACATCCTCGCCTACCTGAGTTAGTGCGCCTAGTTGAAGCGGGCTGCTCTCACCCCGCAACGCAAGCGCAGCTGCTCTCGGGCTCACTAGGCGCTTGTGGCGCCCGCTATTTACCAAAGCCAACTGCGCTTTCCAAGGCGCGACATTGTTGCTGGAATTGTTTATCTCCCACTGTCTGAAAGCCACATATCAGTGATTCATCTTGCATTTGAACACCAAATCTTCACACACAATACCAATCGAAGATGCAGTATGGCCACCCCTTCCTATGGCGATCGACCCCAAATACAAGGGTTTCGGAGGTCCTTCACTCTGCCTGCGCGACAGTTGTCCGTACATGAGAAGGCAGGTCTCGACAGATCAGATGCTGATGCCAATGTCTTGTTTTCTCATCCCTCGGCACGTATAATTGCCTTCTCCCCGCCCAAAGAATCAATCCCTGCGCAAACCAAAGACATCCCACATGACACCGACTACCCGGTCGATACAATAGAAACACTACCATGGAGGTCGAGAACGGAAACCTTAGCTGCAACCGGGCAGATCATGATCGAGAAAGTTCGCGGCTCGAGCAATTTTCTGAAGTCCGCGGACCAGAAAGTCATTCACACCATCATGCGCAACTCGCAATGTTGGTGCGTTGATGGGGAATCCAAATTCGTTCTAAGAACTGGAAAATTCCGCTATTACCGAATAGAACTGCCGTCAGAAACAGAGGAGGACAAAAAGAAGGTGGAAGAGCTGAAGGATGTACTCAGTAAAGTTCTCAGGTATGAGAGAACACCCTGTCCGTTCAAAAGAGCTTTCCACGTCGATCTCCCGGAGGACGCCATTACACCTCGTCGGAAAGGTGTCTGGAAAAGGAGGCAGCCTTCGCAACCCACAAGTCCTTCAACAGACCCATTGCCTCTTCGTAGGTCGAAGACATCGCGGGCATGGAGTTTACAAGGCCCGGCAAGCTCGACGCCCTTGCAAACATATGGTCGTCGTGGATCGGATTATGGCTACTCTTTGTCTCGCGACACCTCCCCCATGCCAACTTCGGAAGGTGACAGGTGGCGCCCAAGTACACCCTCCAGCCTTGCATCTAGTGAACTTATGAGCGAGAGAGCATATGAGGAACTATCTGGTCAGGAGGCGGAAGATCATAATGACAACCCCTCGCCAATGCCTGAGGATCACGTCATGGACGCCCAATTCGACATGCAAGGCGATTCTCTCTCTTCTAGCATGTCTTCTATAGATAGACGATCGGATCATGCCACTGAGAATGATTCGACAGCGCCAACGGACGCTGATCACAAGGAGTTGAACATTGCTCCAGAACCCTGCCCAGCAGGAATTGTGGCAGAAGAAGACGCTCCAGTTAATGATGTGACCACCCATATTCCTTCTATAGCAGAAGACGAACATACGCCGGACAAGAACTCCAACGACGAAAGGGCCGAGTCCTTTTCTCGGCAGTCAGAAGGCGACCTTGTCCAGAGTGACACCACTGCGGTTGAGCCAGACTCTCAACAAGTTTTGCAAGCGACAAAAGAGAGCATTTTGGCAGAGGGGCAAAGTCCTCTTGAAGAATTGTCACCGGTGACTGAATCCCCGGTCGTATCCGCTAGACCAGCGATCTCCTCCACATCATCAATTGACGAGGACGCTCCAGAAACCCAAGCCGCAAATGACGATGTTGACCCCGAAGTAACAACTACATATCACGATTCACAGCAAGAAGAGATTCCATCAGAAGCCGCACAATCACATCCTGACTTGGATGGACTCGATGAAGCGGAGGAACCATCAAACGATGATGATGCACTGAGCAATGTTTCAAGCGTGGACTCCTTCCACACGACCAAGTCTCTGGCGGAGGACTCTTCGGAACAGCCCGCAGGGCCCTTTGACACAGAAAAGACTCCCCAAGACGAGAGATTGAATCCATTTTCCTTGGTGAAACCACAACATAAAAGGGGTGTTTCCGAGACGACTATAACAGCCTCAAATGCTGACGCTCACCAATCTGCGGACGACTCATCAGACAAACCATCAACGCCCGCGTTAGGGAGATCGCCTACTTCAGACTCATCGTGGCCGGAGGTACGTACCCCAGAGTCACCGGTTACTGCCGGTTTGAGACGACGTCTTGAAAGGAAACGGTCACTTTCTCCTCTCCCTCCTCCAACAACAATCTTCTCACCACCGTCTCCCACCCAAGGCAACCACTTTACTTCCGAGATCCTACACAAGGCTTGTAGTATAGCCTTGGTCAAGCCTATCGAGGCTGTTGTTCTCCTTATCCATATACTTGCTAGGATTGCCGGAGGCGCTACTGTCAATGATTTGCTCAGTGGGGATTTGTTTCGAAGGCCAGATCAACACCAGCGAAGGTCGAGTTTCCCGGATCAAGTCAACGCCAGAGATCACAGCAGTGATGACGAGGATGATTTTGGCGTTCCCATCCGTCGACGGAGAAGTCTGAGCCATAGTTCCAACTTTCCGACCGCGATGCGCAACAACAATGATGCTGATCCAATGTTTGATTTGGATTGAAACTGCTACACAGGCGATATGGTGCGTCATCTTGCAAGATCACCGATGTCTATCATTTGATTACGCAAGCCTGTCTTATATATGAGCATGGAGTTACGGGGCGGGGAATAAGACTTCCCCATTACAAGAACCAGAGTATGATGGAATTCATTTTGGCTCTGTGAGTATAGTCAGGTCAGAGAGAATAGGTTTTCAAATAATATGACTGTCCATTGCGGCCATATCCATGGCGAATTATAATTCTTTGTCCTCGATTCGATGAACGTTCTGTTCTGCGTTCTCGCTTCCGCACATGGTTGTAGGTTGAAGTCGCACAGGATGTCATGGATCTCAGTGTCGACTTTTGATTTTTGGCGTCAGACTCCCTCTTCCTGCTTCGTCGTCCGTCCCGGCCACAACTGATCGACGCTTTGACTAGCCATAAAGAGAGCCGGTGCATGGGCGCAATGGAAGTATGTCCCCTTGGGGTGTTCGGTTAGTGAACGGTTTGCTTTCTTCCTCGGACAACAGCAGTCCCGAGTCACGCAACATCTTTCGTCCCTGGTTGTGTGTATATGTGTGTGGTGGGGTGTGGGATGGTGTGGTCTACCCTTAAAGATTTTTCTTCATACACCATGTCGTGTCAACTCGGCGCACTCCCAGCGGCGGCGCCGGCGCTTGTCCCTTTGTTCTTCTTCTTAGCCTTCGCCTTCTCCTTGGCCTTCTTCTTGTCTCTTTTCCTCAAAGCCTCCATTCCCTTCTTGCACACATCGGCATACCGCGTGTAAAAAGTGTCCAGGTCGGCTGATTGGACGACGGTCGCAAGTCTGAGTTTCTTCGGGGTGCTCTTCGACTTGGGCGTGCCACGGTGCTCTTTCGAGAGACCGTTTGTGGCGCGGATCAGGATTTGCGAAGACGCGGCTTCTTCCGCAGGGAGAGGCTTTTGAGTCAGGTACACGGAGCCATGGGCCTTGCTGTGCGTTGCGGTGAAGAGTTGCGCGAGGCGGGAGAGGAACTGTTTGTATATAACATGCAGTTTGCGATTAGCTTGGGAGGATTGGGCCGGGTGAAGAAGTGACAATATAATTTACCTCTTCGTTGCTCAGAAGTTCTTGAGACATTCTGCCCAGGGATGTTGACGACCAGGTTGGTGCCTGACAGTATCGTATGGGCTGGCTGGCCGCACTGGGCAGTTCGAGTACCGACTGAACGATTGAGGCACCACGCACTGCACTGCAACTGTACTCGTATTGTCCTGTCGTTCGCAGCCAATTTGATGATGGGTCAGTGGGGGAATTGGCGCTAACTAGTGTGCCTACAGAGTACAGTACAATATGAGAGAGTCTAGTGGCCCTTGCTTATCACCGGGTTATCGCCGCGGCAAGGAATATCCATATATTGTTCCTACAACTCACAGCATATCTTCGGACAGCCCTCAATCCTATAGATCTTCCTCTGTGAAGTGCCACACTCTGATTGCAGTATCTCTACCTTGCTCCCAGGTCGGACCCGTCCCAGCTCGCGTTTCCCTCGCTAATCTGCAACCGACGGTGTAAATCTCGACCTGCTTCGCAAACGCTTCCCATATTTCATGAATACCAAAGGGATTGGGATCGCTACGCAGGAGATTCCGCCCAATATACTCGAAGCCGGCCCGACGCCCAGGTTGAGAAAGAGTGGCCGTGCCGCCAAAGGCAACCCGCACGCCAGTAACGACCTCAAAAAGGTGTTCCCAGCCATCGCGCTCGCGGCCAAGGGTCCGTAAGTGTCCGCGAGGTAATTCAAACACTGTTGAAACGTGATATTGAACCCTGCACCGATAAAACCTATTGTTCTCAGACGCAAGTCAAAGGTTTAGTATACCCTCTACATGGATGTAGATGCGTGAATGTTGGGCTCAAAGGAAGACGGAGAGATGGGCATCACACGTACCTGCCGCAATCGTCGGTAAGACCCAGGAATACCCGGGGTCTGCGGTCCAACCGAACCAGAAGATACCGGTGGAGAAGAGGACGCCTCCGGCCAGCATGGGCGGTAGTCTCGCTTCTGGCACTGCCCGGCCTTGGTTTCGCGAGAGCGCCTTTGCGTATAGGGGTTGATTTGCGAAGTTGATAACGAGGGCGAACAGGACGCCTGTGAACAGGCCCAGAAACGGCAGTGTTGATACAACGGTGGAGTACTTGCGTATGAGCCCGAATACGACAGGGAACGATTCCAGCTGAAAGAAGAGAAGGCCGTAGACAAACGATGCGTACACAGCAATGCAGGTGACCATGGGCTCCATGATGAGCATTCTAAAGGGAAATTTGAGGTCAGTGACCTGAATTTTTGGCACATCTTAACAGGTAAGTCAACTACGAGGAAGAAATTGTCACTTACCGAGCAGGGCGACTTATATACTTGATCAAGATGTTATTGACATTAATCTTTTCAGCTTCGTGCGGATGCCAGTAGCGCTCATCGCCGGTGTCCTTGCGAAGACAGCGTGCTTTCTGCTTAAGTAAAACGGGGTGGTACGTTTCAGGTAATGCGAAAGAGGTGAGACCAACGACGGCGAAGGTGATGATAGCTTGGATATACTCGGTCCCTAGGTCGCAGTCAATCGTCACTCCGCTCGGTACCGCAAGTGAAGGATGAGACTGTAGCCGACTTACATCGCCATCCAAGGTGCGGATTCACCACTATGGCCGCACCAACCAAAGGTGCAATGCACGGCCCTCCAACAACACAAAAGGCCATGAGTGCCATCGGTACACCTCTCGTCCTAGGGTCGTAAATGTCCCCAATCGCGGCGGAGACGTTGCTGATCGGCGCCGAGGCGAACAGTCCCCCAAAAAAGCGGGTGAGGAACACGGCGGTCGCACCCTGGCTCACTGCCGTGCCAATACTGAAGAGGCCAAGGATGAAGACCGCCGGCAGCATAGAGAGTCTGCGACCATAGACTTCACCAACTGGCGCCCAGATCATCGGACCGAACGCGTAACCCAGGACGAATAGCGACACCACGAGGACGGTTGTTTCGATACTGACATGGAATTCTTTCTGGAGGACTTCTTGCGCGGGAGAAGGGATTGAAGCACCGAACGATCCGACAAAAGCTAACAGGGCCATCTGCAGCGTCAACCAGGCTTTGTAATACGGGTTCCAACTCTTCGGGTTGGCGGGGTCGTTCCTGTCCCATTTGACGAGGTAATAATCCTTATTGCCTTCGTCAGCGGTCTTGGGATTTGTCTGGGATTCAGTTCCTCGTGTCGCTTGGGTAGGATTCATCTCGAGATCAACACCCTGTTGCGAATCTGAGGAGAGTATAGGACCATTCAGGTCTGTAGCCTGCTGGCGTGTGTCCATGTTGCTGATTTTACCGTGGTGAGTGCTGGCATACTGGAGGATTCAAAGCAGGCTTGTCCGTGGGTATTCGAGAGATTTTATAGCAACTCGATAACCCCTCCTAGACTGAGGCAGCTCAACGTCTATTGCAGATCTCCTCCCCCTGTTCGCTGAAGACCCTTGCGAACTATGGCCATATCGAGGTATCTTCATGCTTGATGAAGCATAATTTCCGATCGCCCCTGGTGTCATCCGTATTCACACTGCGTTTGAGTGTATCGTAATGTGGGCTTGATTGCATCAATAAGGCGACAAGGAGCATCGGAAGCCTTCCATGTGGAGCCACAGGACAGTCCTCATTAGCGTCGGCCGACGTGCATATACAGTACAACGATGGAGCCATTCATGCCGCGCCGCTCCTTGCACTCTTGCAACAAGGAACTCCACGGACTTAAGGTTCGTCATCGAGGACATTCGACTAAGGGGGTTTGAAATGAACTATCAGTCCCGATGATTGTTCCCGAACACCATTGACCAGTCGAAGCTCAGAAGCTAAATGGTGACCAAGGAAGCGGAAATACAGCGAGCCTCGCGCGCATGTCGTCTTTGCCGGACAAGGAAGAAGGCGTGTGACAAGAAGCTCCCAGAGTGCGGTTACTGCATTCAACGTGGCTTGACCTGCGTATATGGTGATGATTCCCACTCGACATCGGCCGAAAAGGCTGCCATTTTTGTTGGCAGCGTCCTGGCAATGCGCTCAAGCATCCCGATCTGGCTGGCTGGCGATCTAAGCCCATCGACAATGCAGTCCCAGTCTCCCGGCTTATACAATTCCCACCAGGGCGTTCAAGATCCAGCGATGTCGCTTGCTAAGGCCGTGCACGCCCAGGTCGACCACATCATACGAGCCGCGAATATATCCTCGGACTACATACAAGAACGCTATTTCCGGCATTTTCATCCCCGTCTCCAGATCCTGGAACCGAGGCTCTTTCAAGAAGCCATCGAGCAAGAGTGTGGCGTGCCTGCTCCTGATGTCACCATCCTACTTCTCGCGATGTACCTCATCACGCTAGAGCCTCCAAATGATACCATATATATCACCCTCCGAACCATCTTCACCGCAGTCCAAACTAGTATTCGCACATCAATCGCCTTGATTCAGGCCTCCCTACTGATTTCGTGCTACGAGTACACTCATGGCTGGCTCGACGCAGCATACATCTCTGTAGGCGCATGCGTCAGAATGGGCCGCCTTATTGGCATCAACCGGCTTCAAGGATCACGCGATGACGAAAGTTTAAAATCAGATACTCGAGAAACTCTCAAGTTAGTCGAGTCATGGAACCTTTGGTGGGGCATCACGATATTGGAAAGGTAGGCATGATTCAACTTCGCCTCTTCAACCTCGGTGTGATAAGGCGCTGAAGAATAATGACAGCGCTTTACTGTCGGAAGTCGACGAAAATGTCCAAAAGTCTGTTTCCGACTACCATCTGGGAGATCAATCTCCTCTCCCACTCGGCTCAGAATCTACCGTGGGTTCTTCCATGCTCCGCTGTTTGAAATGCGTGCCCCTAACTGTGTCTAAGGACAACAGCGATTTCACGCGCCTAGCGCAGGCCACATGCTTGCTCAACCGGGTACGGCGAGCGGTGACTTTCAAAATTGATTATTCTGAGCTGGCGGCCATCGACAAGGAGATACAGTCTTATCTTCTCCTCGCCTTGAACGAGGATCGAGACGGATGCCCTAAAGCTCTGCATAGTATCTCCGTTGCTATTGCCGTTCGGTAGGTACTTTTCCAGTCTATTCCACTCCAGCTGGACTCAATGAAAGCTTGAACTTGAAATTGTTTCCTGAACATGGGACAGGGGTCTATTCGTGCTTCATCAACGTATTCTAAACGATGTGGGAGAGCGTCAAGATGGGTATTCTCGGAATTCATATGCGGCGCTATACACAGCTTCAAAAATGGTCCTCGACGCGGCCAAAGACCATTATTCCAGCAGCGCGAAGCCGAGGATACTCTTCCTTCCCCTCTGCTGCAGAAGAAATATCCAAGACGCGAAGGCATTCTTGACCGATTCGGGCGAGCAGCATTGCTCGGCCGTGGATCTTCAGCACTTACGTCTGGCCGAGGAAGCTCTGAACAAAAGATAGGAGACACATCATCGCTCGATTCAAGGAATATGCTTGCTGTGTCCTCGAAGACAACGTGGATGCTGGTTGTTCAAAGGTCCCTGGACTGTCCATCATCAGCCAAACGGAGCTCTGAAACAGTAACTCTGGTTGGGTATGGTTCGTCTAGGACTGTGGTTGAGCGAGCACAGAACTAGGCTGGCACGATGAACCATAGAAGAGTTCCATCTGCAATACGTCGATCCGGTTGCAGGCGTGCCACTTTTGTCTCGATGATCCTGTCAGAGCATCCAGTGACCACTGATATCCACCTTAGTGGCGTTTGACGATTGTGATTTTATTGACACCGTTGCGAGATTCCATCATGGATCAGCTTGCTGGTATGACAAGGTCAAGCACACCCGGAGAGAACTATTACAAAATAGCGGTACGCTCTCTGAGAAAGGAGCGCTCGCAGCCATATTCTGGCGCACTTCAGCGCTGTATAGCATATTGAAATTCAAAGGTGATTCCAACTCCATCTCGATCAACGGGATCCCTAGTTCCACAAAGGATTGGGGCCGCAGACTGCAACTACCATATTAATTGCCCAAACGTGATCCCCCTTCTCGTCTATAGTGTTAAGGTCGCCGAAGCTCTACACAGTTCTAGAACAAGGGCTGAATGGAGCATACCCGCACGCATTAATCCCTACTCGGGGACTTGCTGAGGATATGAAGCAGGATAAGGGGTATCAGGGTGAACCGAAAGAGAAAAGAGAGAATGAAGTTGGAAAACAGGTGCGTGTGGCGCCCATCGGGGGATGAGATGGAGGCGTCTTGACGGCCAAAAGCGGCGGGGGACGTGCCACAAACAAACGACATCCGAAGATTTCCCGGTGTCGGCTTTAGAGACGCAATTTTTATGGTGGTGTGTGATTGTTTGGACGAACGAGTCTCTCACTGCTCGGATAGATGTCCAAATGTCAAGACCAAATGGAGGACAACGAAGACGTCCAAGTGGTGTGAAGCTACCGTTTGCACTGCAGAAGGAACTAGGCTTGGAAAACAAGTCGCAGGGACGGCGGCCGCAGAATGGCACCGTGAGGAACAGAAAAGAGCAGCGCAAGGCTGGACGACTGGAGAAGAAGAGAAGCAAGGGATTTTCGGGGCCAGAAAGGAGAGTGCAAGACCATGAAAGCGACGAGGACGAGCAATACGACGAGAGCGAGGAGGACTCCCGGCCGGCACCCTCGCCTGTGAAGACTGCGCCGGCGAAGAGAGAACCAAAGAAAGAGGCAAAGTCGAGGAGCATACTGAAGAAGCCGATGGTTAGACCGCGCTCTCCCTCGATATCTGATGAAGATGAGACGGATCGGTCGCGGGCCTCGTCGCCAGGCCTCGTTCTAGATGCCTCCTCGAGAGCCTTTAGGGATCGAGCAGCACAGGACGATGCGGAGATCAGTGCGCTTGAAAAGAAACTCGGGTTTCAAAAGAAAGCCAAGTCAAAATCATTCGCTGATGACGGTCTGGATGATTTGCTTGAAGGCCTCGAAGAGGAGGAAAGGGGACAAAAGAGAATGAGTGAAGAAGACGACTGGCTTGAAAGAAAGAGAAGGAAGACAGCACCTCAGGACGAGGATGAGGAGGATGATGAAGACCTCGATATTGACGGGGATGATGCTGGCGACGATATTGATATGGATGAGGACGACTTGCCAGATGAAGATCTAGACGGAGGATCTACCCAAGATGGGCAAACTGAGGACGATTTTGAGAGTTTCGAATCAGACGAGGACGAAAGGCCCCGAACTCAGAAGGTGAAGGTGCGAGAAAACCCTTACGTTGCCCCTGTAGCAGCGAATGCGTCTAGCCCCAAATATGTCCCTCCCTCGCTGCGGAAAGCACAGAACTCTGAGGGGGCGTCCCTGGAAAGGTTAAGACGCCAACTTCAAGGGCACCTGAACAAGCTGTCCGAAGCGAACCTCATATCTATACTTGACGAGATTGAGAAGGTCTACCAGTCAAATCCCAGACAAGATGTCACGTCCGTTCTCATTGAGCTGCTTCTCACTCAATTCAGCAGCAAATCGACTCTTCCGAACACATTCGTTATCCTTCATGCAGCTTTCTCGGCGGCTGTATACAAGGTAATTGGGGTCGACTTCGGCGCTGAGCTGCTTTCACAACTTGTTGATCGCTTCGATCTATATCACGGCGACGAAGGAGCGGGCAAGGAGGCGTTAAACCTAATCAGTTTGCTGTCCAATCTATTCACATTCAACGTTGTGAGCAGCGCAGTCCTCTTCGATCACATCAGGCTCCTCCTTGAGGAATTGACCGAGAACAACACCGAGTTACTTCTTCGAATTGTTCGTGACTCTGGACCACAGCTTCGTCGGGATGATCCATCATCACTGATGGTTATTGTTCGATCTATGGCGAAGACTGTCGACAGGATGAACGCAGCAGGAGAGAAAATAAGTGCAAGAACTAGGGTCATGATGGACATGATTACGGACCTGAAGAACAACAAATTGAAGACTACGAGCAATGTGGGTCTTTCCAGTGAGCACATCACCCAGATGAGGAAAGCGCTGGGAAGTCTTAACAATCGGCACTTAAGAGCATCGGAGCCCCTGCGGATTACTCGAGATGATATCAAAAACAGCGACAAGAAGGGTAAATGGTGGCTTGTAGGTGCGAGCTGGAAAGGGAACGAATCAGCTCCTGGCACAGATGACCTCACTGAGGCTACCACGGTTTTGAAAGGCGACCTTGAGGATGACAACGATGGCTCGGTTGATTTGGTAGCTCTCGCTCGAGAGTACGGAATGAATACAGATGTCAGGCGGTCCATCTTCGTGGCTCTATTATCGGCCGTGGATTACAAAGACGCACATGTCCGGCTAATGAAGCTGCGTCTCAAGCAAAATCAAATGCAGGAGATCCCCAGGGTCCTACTTCGTTGTGCGGCTGGAGAGAACCCTTATAACCACTACTACACGCTGGTGGCGAAGAGACTATGCCTGGAAAAGCGCATGCGTAAAGCATTTCAATTCGCATTGTGGGGATTTTTCAGGAGGCTAGGCGAGAACGCAGACATTGACGATGACGCGAACGACGATGGAGACCAGAATGTCGAGATGAATGAGATTGCGAACCTGGCAAAGTTGTATGCCCATCTCATACTCGACGGAGGTGTGACGATTGGTGTTCTCAAAGTTCTCGATTTGGCATATATCAAAGAACGAACAAGCCTGTTTGTCGAGTTGTTGTTGATCATGATCATGATCGAGGCCAGCAACACGAAAGTCGACTCTGTACCGCGAGTGTTTGATCGAGCAATCGAGACGCCCCAGGTTATCAAACGATTACAATACTTTGTCAAAAAGAATGTCCGAAACTCTGACCTGATATCAAAGGACGACAAGGATACGGTCAAAAGAGGTTGCAAGGTTGCATTGGACACCCTTTCGCGCCTAGATTCCGGAACGAGTCTCATGGATGATTGAATACGAACGCATCAACGGATTGCCCTCTTGACCGAACGAGTAAATGGTCATGATACGTGCTGAATACTGGCGCGGGAAAGCAATAATACAAAGTCAGTCGAACCTTCCGAACTGTAAGGCGTTGTCATGGTCTACGACGACGTTGATGCGGTCGGATAAAAATGCAACGAGTACAATTTTGTTCGCTCAAGTGTTTGAGGGCTCGTCGACACTGTTTGTCAACTATTGGTATTTAATGACGACGCAACGCTGGATCAGCTTCGCATGGACATACCAGAGCAACCTCTGCCGAGATCCCAGTCTTGAGTTCTCAACAAGTACCACCGCATTGACTCAAAATGTCTCAATCAATTCTGATCCCGCGCCCAGTACTGCAGGCTCTCCTCGCTGAGCTCGACATGTGTTACGAAATGTTTGGTCCAACTATGCAAAATGATGTCCTGCCTTCCGCCTGGTTCCGTCCTCTCCTTATCACCCACGCCAATGGTGCGGAAAACATTCGCCTCGACAATGACGACGTCCGGAGACTGGTTATCAGAAGCACCACGGCGCTGAGAGGAGCGATTTTTCGGTTCCACGAAAGAGCGGATGAATATCTTTGTGCACTTCGATCTCTGCGTACTGAGAGAAGCAGGGTCGACGACATGCTTGCAAGAAACAGGGAACGGGATCACTCCAGACTATTGCGCCTTGCTACAAGCAACGCCAGGATTGAGAGAATCTCGGCGAATGAAAACCTACTGAACCTGGATGGGTGCATCATGGGGTATAGGGAGAGCCATGAAAGATGGCCGGGAGACGAACGCCCATCATTCAGGAACGACGACGATGTTGGAGGGTATTCTGGTCACCGGAGAGTCGAGCTGGATGCTGTCCGACGAGAGGACCCTAACTTTGAGGCGGAATCGACGATGCTATATGAGTCGTGACACGGACTCTTGACAGAGCGTACAGAGCAAGACTAAGGTAGATAGACGGGGTCCTTGATGCTGGCTGGATACCATAAGCTCGGATGAATGAACAAGACGACATTACAATTACGAGATAAGACGAGACGAGATGAACTTGAGCAGTGATCGAGCGTCTTAAGGGTTCTAAATTTCTGTTTTTTTGTGCATTTTGGTTTTCTAGATGGCGATACCGCAGTCCATGACGATATTCTGACCTGTTATTGATTTACTCAAGACCAGAGTCTTGATCTGGTCGGCAACGTCAACTGGAGAGGCGATTGACTTGAGAAGTGCCTTGTCGGCGGTCGCTTTAATCTTTTTTTCTGGGAATTTGTTGCCCCTGGATTTTGGGTTGACGGTTAGCAGGCATATTGGTCGGTGGGTCGGTCGGTGGAGGGGGAGGGTAGAAAAGTAAGTGATCCTCCAACTAACTAGGTAGGTAGGTAGGTAGGGAGGGAGGGAGCTGTAATGAACTTACCACTCGGTCAACATCAGGCCGGGACTGACACTGTTACACCTGATTTTCTTTCCACAGATAACGGCGAGGCCCTTTGTCAGATGGATCTCGGCCGCCTTCGTGACGGAGTACGGAAGACTGGAGCCGCTGGGCCTCACGCCGGCCAAGCTGGCGACGGTGACGAAGGCACCGCCGATGCCGCCTTCGCCCTCTTCGTCGGCGACCTTCTCGAGGTGGTCCTTGGCGGCGTACAGGAGCCACAGGTGGCTCTTGACGTTGACGTTGAAGCAGCGGTCCCAGTCGTCCTCGTTGACCTGCTGCTCGAGGTCGCTGAAGTCGGTCAGCCGCGTCCAGCCGGCGTTGCTGACCACGACGTCCAGCCGGCCCATGACGCTCACCGTCTCGGACACGAGGCGCTGGATCTCGGACCGCTGCGAGACGTCGGCCTTGACGGCGTGGAACCGCGGGCCGTGGTCCGCCGAGACCGTGTACGTCGGCGCGATCGCCGAAGCCTGCGATATCACCTCTTGCGCCTTTTCGAGCCGCGAGTTGTAGTTGACCACTACGCGGAAAAAGGGCGCGAGCGCTTTGACTGTCGCCGCGCCCAGGCCCGCGCTGGACGCCGTGACGAGCGCGACTTTGGCCGCCGTCATTGCTGTGGTTGTTGGGTGGCGGGAGCAAGGACAGAAATGCTGGATGGCTGGCCGGCAGGCAGGCAGGTCGGTGAGGGTGCTTGGGAGATGATGTGAGGTGGGAAAGGGTCCAAATTGAGGTGAAGTGAGGTAGTCGTAGGAATTGCTATGGTCGTCAAACCTGTAGCGACTTAAGTAAGGCAGGGAGGTCCCTGGAATGGCGTAGAAGTGGGGTACGGAGTGGGCAAATCGGGGTTGTGCGCGGGGCGGAAACATTCCGACGTCCAGACCTGATGGTGCGCAGGTGCTCCTCGGTATTGTACTGTAGGTACTCTTGCTTTTTCGGCTCGTTCCTTTGTAGTCTTACGGGGAGAGTCTCAGTGTCAAATCTTGCTCGATGCTTCTCCGGGCGGAAGAACTTCCTAAAATCTGCCTTTGTTGAAGATAGCCTCGTCGGTCTCCCTATCCCGAAAGCACTTCTTGTTTCTTGTACTTCTGCGGACAATGCCCATGGCTTGGTCTCTGTATCTTGATCACCGTCTCGCTGTGCTACGCGGAAAGTTTCCTCCATTGTTCGTTTGGCTTCAGCCGGGGGAGAGATGTCAAGATGTGCCATTAATCGTCGTACGATTCGAGGGCGAGGTGTCTTCCTTCTTGTTCTGATCTCAGTGTTGGTGGGCGACGCTTGCTCTTAACGGGCCATCGTTGTCGATGTGAAGAATTACATCAAGGTGAGTCGGGACAGTAATGAAGCTCTGGACCCCTTGCCGCTGAGCTCCAAGAACTAACGGCCGTATATTGGAAGACTCTGTAGAAAGCCAATGACGACAACCAGAAGCTAGAGAACTCTTTCTTCCATGCCTCGTAAAGTGGTAGTTCTGATCTTCCGAGCATCGGACCATCGGACAAGTGTGTCATGGTACGACGCGTACGAAGCTGCATGATCCCGAGCTCCCGGTACAGGGAGGAATACTTACTATCTACTGGTCGGTGGTTCTCGTAGGGAGTGATTTGCTAAGGGACCCTGACAATCTGATTCTTGGGGATTGATTGATAAGATATGATCATTGTAGTGAGCGTGACGAGTGTACGATAAGATTTGATTACGACGCTCCTCCAGCACTGTTACTTCACTAACAAGAAGATTTTCCACCCGAAGTCCCTCATTTAGCCTAGTGGGCGCGGGCATTGGTCTAAACGGCATATTGTACGGAGTACCAGTGAATTCATTGCAGTGACTGAGACTATTACCTGTTCCTATTGGCACCTCGTGCCCATATTTTATTCTCTACTCCATCAGCGCACAAGCCAAGAGTGACGGCGCCGCGAAGCCTGAGCAAGCTTCCTTAAGCTCGAGTCTTGGGCGACTCTTGTCAAGTGGCACAGACACAAAAGTCCCTGGTCTAACGGTTCTCAACTTCCCGGATGATGATACCTCGTCTCACTGTCCCATCCGAGTTCCTTGCGCGATGCCCCCATAAGTTTTTTCTTTTCAACTAGTGGAGCTGACGGCGAGAAAATTTATCTTATCAGATGTCACTGCGGATACAGGCCTGACCATTCGTAGTGCAACCCGCCCCTGCTCGTCCATGCCTGGTAGGTATACATACGGCAACGCCGAGCGCTGGCCTTGCAATAAATATGGGTATGAATCCCTGCGAGAGAGAGCCACGTTTTTCTCTTGCGGTTATCTCCTCCCCCAGTACCCGTCCGCCGTGACTGCTCTACAGACCCTACCGTATCGCCGTCATGGGCTTCCTATCCAAGCTCAAACCCAGGGCAACTCGCCCCGAGGTTAGCAGTGCTTCCAGCGTTCCTGGGGTTCAAAAATCCGACGGCCCACTAGACGCTCCAGCAGATGTGTCTGCAGACTCCGACTCCGATGGCCTGAGCCTGGAGGAACGCAACGAGAAAGAAGTTCAACGCCATCCCAACACCATCACCGAAGGCGCGCAGCTGGGTGTCCGGAAGGCCGAAGCCACTGCTCTCGTCTGGCCAAAATGGGCCGTTTATGCAACTTATGGCTGGATCTGGGTCTGCTTCTTCATGCTGGCCCTGCAGCAGGGAACAACCACTCTTTTCAACGCGGCGGCCTACGCCGACTTCATTGCCGCACCACAGCTGACGACAGCGAATATCTTGTCGACCATCATCGGCGGTGTGTTGAAACTACCCATCGCAAAGATCCTCAACATCTGGGGCCGTGCTGAAGGCTTCTTCCTCTTCGTCTGCGTCTACCTCCTTGGCATGATCGTCTTGGCCTCGTCCACGGGGCCCAGCGGCTACGCAGCAGGCTACGTCCTCTACTGGATCGGCTACGATGCCATCTACCTGATCCTCGACGTCTTTGTCGCAGATACCTCGGGGCTACGCAATCGGGCATTCGCCTTTGCCTTTGTCGGCACCCCCTTTATCTGCACCGCATTCACCGCGCCGTTGCTGGGCCAGGCATTCCTGAAAACGACAACCTGGCGCTGGGGCTACGGGGCTTTCTGCATCATCATGTTCTTCGTCTTTATGCCGCTCGTGTTGGTGTTCAAGTACTTCCAACGCAAGGCCGAGCGGATGGGCCTGTTCAAGAACGAAGCGAGCGACCGGTCCGCGCTGCAGTCCTTTGTACACTACTTTCATGAATTTGACATTGTCGGAGCCATCCTGCTCATGGCGGCATTTGTCCTTTTCCTGCTGCCGTTCTCCCTCCAGACGAACGGCAAAGCGCAGTACTCGTCGGCGACGTTCATCGCCATGATCGTGGTTGGGGTGTTACTCTTCCCCGCGTTTGCCATCTGGGAGAAGTTCTTCGCCCGTGTCCACTTCGTCCGCTGGGAGCTGTTCCGCCAGCGGACCGTGCTAGGAGCGTGCTCGCTGGCGGCAATTCTCTACTTTTCCTTCTACTGCTGGGACGTGTACTACTACTCGTTCGTCCTGGTGGTATATGACCTCTCCTTCTCCGACGCCGGGTACATGAGCCAAATCTACAACGTCGGGTCGACATTCTGGGGCGTCGTCTTTGGCTTCTGGGTCCGCCTCACCAAGCACTTCAAGTACACGTGCCTGTTCTTCGGCCTGCCCCTGATGTTCCTGGGCGCGGGGCTGATGATCCATTTCCGCGGAACCGACCACGGCATAGGATACCTGGTGATGTGTCAGATCTTCATCGCGTTCGCGGGTGGCACGCTCGTCATCGGCGAAGACATGGCCGTCATGGCGGCGGCCGATCGCGACGGCGTGCCCATGATGCTGTCCCTTGTCAACTTGTTCGCCAGCCTGGGCGGCGCCATCGGGTATGCCGTCACCGCCGCAATCTACGACAATGTTTTCCCCGAGGCCCTGCTTAGGAGGCTCCCGGCCAGCACCAAGGGAGACTATGAGACAATCTTCCTGGGTGGCTACACCGTGCAGATGACGTATGCCGTGGACTCGCCGACGAGAAACGCCATCAACTATGCGTGGGGCGAGACACAAAAGTACGGCTCGGTCGCAGCTACTGCTATTCTGGTGCTTGCCATTCCGGCCATTGCCGTGTGGAAGAACTATAATGTCGACAAGAAGCAGAACAAGGGTACCGTCATATAGATAGGTTGACACTCAGGGTATCTTTGTCGTGGTTGTTGACAACATCGTAGTGGGTTACCCTTCTAATCAAGATTCTTATTTGTTTATCTGATTCATGGATGATGTCTATGTCGACGTCGGCGTCAGTATCGGTGTCGATCTTGATGGATGCTAAGCCTCACTAGGCGGTAATATGTAATACCAGCTCCAGCACCATTTTGACTGATTTACAACGACATCAGCCGAGAGGTGGTTCCATGTTGCTTGTCAGTGAGTGCAGGGTCTGCCGACGAATGTTAGAGAGCCATCAAAACCGTAATGGGCTTTTGACACTCTTGTGTCGCATACGATTGTCAACCAAGCCACGCACTTCTGTATTGTCTGTTTCAATTTGTGTCATTCTCAAAGAAGACTTTGGTCCCGGAGACTTCCCTGTCTCCAAAAAACCGCCATATGTCTTCGAGAAGCAGATCCGGCGCGTCCAGCGACGCGAAGTGGCCCCCTCGGTCGTGGACGGTGCGGTACTTGACGTTTCCACACCGCCGAGCCCATTCCAGAGGTGTCCGGTACCACAGGTCATACGGGAACTCGGAGATGGCGACAGGTTGATGGACGTACGGGAGCATGTTTATCCCTATTGGAGAGATCGCTCCGTCCTGATAGTAGTATAATGAAGAAGAGCGAGTAAGCACAGGTATCATCGGAGAAACACCAACGAGACAGGGGCAAGACGGGAACTTTTGGTCATGCTGATCGAGAACTACGAACAGGAGACAAAAACAAAATACTGAAGGTCAGAAACAGAAAAAAAGAAAGCTCACCTTTGCACCATTCTTGTACAGGCCAAACGCCCCGTACGGTCCGTTGACCCAGTGCATCATTGTCCAGGTGATCAGGCGCTCTGGCGTCCAGATGTCGTCCGGCCGGTCGACGCCCGTTCGGACGGCGTCGTAGATCCACATGGCCAGGCCGACAGGACTGTCTGTGAGGCCGACGGCGAGACGCAGCGGACGGGTCTGGTGGAGGTGGCCGTACGCCCACGCCTGGCTCGTGAAGCGCCGGTACAGCTCGATCAGGTACGCCTCGTCGTCCGAGGTCTCGCGGCGGGCGTGGCGCTCGACGTCGGCGGGCGACGGGGGCACGACCCAGAAGTTCGACAGGCCCGACACGACGCTGCGCGGGAAGTCGACGGCCGCGTAGCGGTTGATGAAGTCGCCGGCGTCGCCGCCCTGGAAGACGTAGCGCCCGTAGCCGAGCCTCGCGGTCATCAGGGCGTGGAACGTCGCCCCGGCCTGCCGGTACCCGAACCCCGGGGCGCGCGGCGCGGGGCTGAAGCCGTAGCCGGGGATCGAGGGCGCGACGACGTGGAACGCGCAGTGGGAGGCGCTGGGAGGGTTCGTGAGCCGCTCGACCACGTCCAGGACCTCGACGAACGACCCGGGCCACCCGTGCACGAAGAGCAGCGGGATCGCGTCCGCGCGCGGGGACCGGTGGTGGACGAAGTGCAGAGGCACCGGCTCCGGGTACGGGTGCAGCGCCGTCTGGGCCGTGTGGACGATCGTCGTGAATTGCTTGAGGCGGCCGTTGAGACTCGCTTCGACCCGTCGCCAGTCGTACGATTCGCTCCAGTACTTGGCGATGGCCTCGGCGGAGCGTCGCGGCGGCCCGTCTTCGTGGTCCGGTTGGTCTTGGTCGTCGACGAAGCGCGTCAGGGAGGCCTTGAGTCTCGTGAGGCCGAGGAAATCCTCCGACACAGATATCGTAAAGGGGAGGACCTCGTCGCTGAACGTGGCTTTGAAGTTGAGGTTGAGGTCACGCTCGGAGAGGGGGCGTCGCGGGGGATCGGCCATGTTTCGATCAATGCGCAATACCAGGTCCTGTAGTGATGGCACACGAGATATCCACGGCTTTCTCGAGACGACACATGAAAAAGGGCCGGAGCGAGTCATGTGTAAAGGGAAGGGGGGGGTGGGGGGGTGGTGATGAGCGGCTTTAAGTACACGGAACGAGTAGATGCAATGTGGGGGACCTTGGATACCTGGCTACCCAACTAGGTAGGCAGTTCTGTCGGTGGAGTCCACTTGGGCCGCTTCCGCCATCGATGATTCGCTTGATCTGGCACAACGTCCGTAAGCACTCGAGGGGAGAGAAAGAGGTTGATGCTAAGGAAGCCAAGGTAGCCATTCTGACAAATGATACTCTATCTATCCGTACCTGCTTGAGATATACCAAATTCCCGTACTGACAACCGCCATGCTTCATCTTGGCGTGGTGGCTCGCGCAATCTCGATCCATCGCAGGGCACTGCAGGGCGCTTCTCTCCATCACGCTTGGCCAGCCTTCAGTTTGGGTGAGATGAGAATCTTGACCTGATCATCTCGGTTGTTGACCAGTTCCTCGAAGCCTTTGGCAACAACGTCTTCCAAGGCAACTCGGCTAGTCACCATCTTTTCATATCCTTCCAATTTGCCTGCATCTGGTCAGCAGTTGAGCACTCTGAGATAGATAACTGAGCTCACCTTCACCCATCATATCCATCATCTCCTTAAAGTCCTGTGCGTTGTAACAGCACGAGGACACAACTTTGAGTTCTTTCAAGAAAAAATTCCAGAAAGGAATTGCAGGCTGGCGTACGGTCACCGTCAGTACACACATAGCACCCAGCAGGAGTAAAGGCTCTCACAGATTGTTCCCAGACGGAAACATTGACCAGTGTTCCCGAGCGCTTCAACGAATCGATACCCGCTTCTAGCCCTGCCTGAACACCAGCACAGTCAAATACCACATCTACTCCCTTGCCACTGGTGAGCTCTCGACAGATATCGCCGACATTCTCTGTTTTCGGATCAATGACCCTATCGACCTGGTCTTTCGCATGTCGCCATCTGGCGGATGACGGCTCGCTCAAAAGAATATTTCCGGCTCGATGCGCGCGCAGCACGGAAGCCATCCCGATACCGACAGGACCACCACCAACGATCAGAACGTCCAGACCCTCCAAACTAGAGTTGAGCATTTTCGCTGCGTGATGGCCTACCGCCAGAGGTTCAATGATTGCCGCATAGTCGAGGCTAACATTTTCTGGAAGTGCATAGAGTTGGTCATCCTCCACGACACAATACTCCGACAAGCCACCTCCTCGTCTTGAATCACAGATTCCAAGGAAGCCAAGGGTGCTGCACAGGTGGTCGGATCCCGAAGTGCACGATAGGCACTTTCGGCAAACCAGTCGAGGGTCTACCATCACGGCTTGTCCAATCGTCCATTTGGACCCTTCGGAGGCTCTCTTGATACGACCACAAAATTCATGGCCGAGAGTCAAGGGCAGTACGCTGCCTGTCAGTGCGTGAGGATGCCCAGGAGCAGGTATGCCCATTGGACCTAGTTTGACTTAGCAACATCCATACACCGGAAGGCCACGGTCCTTGAACAGACCTGCGACATATTCGTGCAAATCACTACCACAGATGCCGCACCACTCAATCTCGACAAGACATTCTCCTGGTCCAGGCTCCGGAATTGCAACATCGACGACCCGAACGTCGCGCCTACCGTAATATTGTGCTGCTCGCATGTTCGTCGCAGACCGGTTTGGGTAGAAGAGACGACTGTGCCAGGGAAGGGAGTTTGCCCAAGTACATAGATAGACGGAGAGACGGTGGGCTCACTGGGCACTCACCCCCCGTTGGAGCCCGTTGGCTGCCTTGCCGAGGAGGACGAAGAGATGGTCAGGCATTCCGTGTGCGGAGCCCAGAATATCCATCAGATCGTCCTACTGTAAGTTTGATATAGGTGCCGAGGTTCTTGAATGACAAGGAGCTCCACGGATGGGCGAGTCAGAGAAGTACGAGTATGTAGGCGTCGCCCGAGCGCTGCATCCTTCCCATTTGAGGCGCATTCGGGCCGTCATTGTTCCTCCTTGTAGGCGAGCACTTGCCAGAGTTCATGCTACCCCGCGCCTAATCTTCTTTCTCTTTGGCTGCGCCTCCATCGCCATTTGGACCACTATCGGCAACGGGTTCTTCGTAACGACTCGAACCATTCACTTAGTGATTCGCTTCAGGCGTGCTCGATTTCCTCGTACACTCAGTCGACCTTTTCACGAAGCGTTACGCTGGGTTTATCCATCAGGCGCTGTTTAATGAGCTCCAGAAAAGCAGGCACATGATGACGGCCATCATCTCCCGGCCTCGAACACAAACCCGTCAGTCTATGGCCGACCTTGACCAACGCTCGACACTCTTCTGTCCGTTGCTAGCCCGCGTCTTTCTTGCTCGTGTCTCAATGCAATAAGGGCGAATTGATCATCTTGGTTGACAATCATGGCAGAATTGGCGAGAACAGCTTGTCGGCGGTGCCGTGAGCAAAAGGTAGCTATCTGCCTTGATTGCCGACAAAATCATATCAGCAGAGACTAAGATCGATGTTTGGTAGTTGCGATGTTCGAGAGAACTCCCAAGCTGTGCACGCTGTTCAAGACTCGGTGCCGTCTGCGTATTTCCACCACCTCCAGACCGCAAAGTGCTCGCGGCCTTCCGTGCACAGTCCAGGAGGAAGAAAGTAGAGGAAGCGAGAACCAACCACCCTCGTCAGCAGGCCGATTCATTTGATATTGTCACTCCAGAAGCTTCATCTCATCGGATCAATGACGATGGACCGGTCTCGGAAAGTACACTTGCAACTCCTGGCTTGCCACTTCCTCTGCCAGTGCAGAGATTTCTTCAAGAAGTGTATTTCAAGTGCATGTTCAATTCGACCCTGGTGTTCCATCGGCCAACGTTCACTCGCGCATTCGATGGCGGACAAGTATTATCTCATGTACTTCTGGCAATGTATGCGACTGCCACAATGTATGACCTTCATCTTAGCTCGACGGGGCTTTGGACTGATCATCTGCAGCTTCTTGACCCCTTCGTCAAAGATCTTCCAGGATAATCTGGATCTGGTTCGACCATTCAATGACATGCGTGGCCTGGGCAGACAATGGGCCATCCGCGCTGGCAAGGAAGTCCTTCAGGATATTGATCAGCCCACTTTCGAAAGCGTACAAACAACCGAAATGCTGACCTTGTATTGGTTTCATGCTGGCGAGTGGCAGCGGAATACAATGTTCTCGGGTAAACAACCACTCTTCTGGACAGTGGACAAGATGGTTGGTTGACAATAGTTTGACCCAGGTATCGCCTACAAAGCAGCGTGCACTGTTGGCTTGGATTCCAACAAAACGGCTTTTTACGAGCCCGAGTTCAATCCCGGCACACAAGGAACCTCGGAATGGCTGGACATCGAGACAAAACGGCGATGCTTTTGGGCAGTTTGGTTCACACAATGCATAAACGCTGATCATCGTTCTATGGGCGGCTCTTATGATGGTAGTGTGATGGGCCTCCCACTACCTATAGCAGAGATTTCATTTGAGAGAATGATTAGGGAACCTCTGTTAACTCTGTCCACTCTTCTCGACCGCCCCCAGCACGGGGCAATGCGAACGCTAGCGACACCCAGCATCATGGCGGAGGTGATGTTCTTGATGTTGAAATGGTAATGCCAATGTGTCTGGCATTTGAACTTGAGAGCTGACGATGAGCAGGGCGAAAATTCGCGACCTGATTCGAGCTACAGAGCGTTTGGCTGTTAAGGATTGGCTTGCGGAGCTCTTTGAACTGGAAGGGTCTCTGTCGGCATGGCTTCTGCGTCTGCCCAACTGCTTCAAATACTCGAAAAGAACCCTATATGAGCAGTTAATTATCAACCGACAGCCGATCTATGTCTTTGTGTATGCACTATATCATCAATGCAGACTTGTTCTGCATTCGTCACTGGTCCCACAATTCAGCGGCGTCCGACTATACGAAACTCTGCCCACTGAAGCAACAAGTCTCAGCGCTCGTATAGCCTTGAAGAGCGCCGGAGGCCTGTCAGAGCTAGGCTCTGATCTACTGGCACTCGACTGGGATCCAGCCCAAACTCCGGCTTTTGTTGGGTACTGCATGTATGTTTCGGCTTCGATACACATAACCCTTCTCTCCTCCACCGATACCGCCCTTGCAGCAATTGCACAGAAGAACCTGATTTGCAATCTGAAGTTACTCAAGTCGATGAAGCCGTACTGGACAAACTTAGAGCGGCTGGTAAGTCATAATTTACCTTCAACACTTTCAACGGGAGCTGATTTAGCCAGTGGATTCGTATCAATATGCTCTACAACGCTCAGACAGTGAGACTTGGAGTTTCCTCGACTCATCTGACTGGGGGCGCTGTTGACTCAGAAGCGCAATCTAATGGTCTCGACCAACTTGCGGGCCAGCCCCGCGAGACCGGGCAACTGTCTGAACCGCTGGCTGATTCGGTCTTGCAGTATACCCTCCGGCGACTAAAACCAGGGTCCAATGTATCTCCATCTTCGTTACGAGATCTCGAAGCCAGCACCGACGCCGAGGTATTGAACTCACTTCTGGGAGACCATGCCACTCTGCCAGCGCATGTCGTGGACAACGGTCGAGGACCTCCTGATCGCCAGCCCCTACCTGCGACACTGGAAGGTTACAATACTGCCATTGACCCTACCCCTCCACAAGGATCTGAGACGTTAATGAGAAGTCCTGTTGTACCGGCTTTGCAGGGAATCAACTATGATTGGTGGCATCTCGATCTGGACAATATTCAACCACCAACTATACCCTACGATGACATGTTCAATCTGGATTTTAACATCTGAAGAAGGAAACCTACTTTGGCAGATATTCGTAAAGTACGACGTAGGTGCAAACCCTGAGCTTGTGTCCCTCAGAGTGGCGACCCAAATGGGAAGACCTCCCCTCGCAGTCCGATCGCTGCTGAATGAAGCTGGATTGGCTTCCCACCAAAGATGACACCAGTTCTAGTTAGTGCCAAGCACAGTTCTCGATACCGAATGTCTGACGAAACTATCTGCCAAGATGACAGCTACTCAGTTGTTCTCCTACTCCGATGACCAGTGGGCCCGGCTCGACGGTGCATTCATCATGTGCGCCCATAGGTACCTTCTTCCTCGGACGTACAGCGTTCTGCTGTTGTTCAAATATCCCTTCAATGACTGAGCATATGTTCACTCGGTCACAACTAGCTCACCAACTCTTGACCTCTCTGGTTTGTCTTTTCCTCCAGTCTGCATACAGGTCAGGCTCCGGTGACTAAAACTGATACCACGGCGGACCTGGATACGCAGAGACAGCCCCCACGATCCATCACGGGTCACAATGGAGAGCGAAAGGCTATAATTCAAGCAGTTGTCGAAGGCAATTGGCGAAAAATAGACAATGACATCGTGCGCTACAATGAAATGTGGGCAATCAGTAAATTCCCAGCCGACATCAAGAACGATGGCAGTCTTCAAAAAACGAGAACTATCATGTCAGTATCCCTACCTGTTGCCAGTCAATCGGGCAAAGTGATCAAAGCGTCCGACACGTTGTCCAACCCTGAGAATTTGCAGTACTATTACCGCTTCGCTAAGGACGAGACTTTACTGGATGCAGTGTCTAAAGCTAAACTCTAGAATAGTGAGTGTAGTGAATACAGAAAACAGACTATAGACTAGTACGAGTGTGGTGAATATACAGATTATTGACCAGGATTATGGTCGTGAGCATGTACTGTACAGGAGCTTAAAGTTGTGTCCGGCCCTTGAGCACGAATGCATGTATGAAGAACCGCTTGAAGATTGAGACAGTCATTCTATACGTACGCCAGACTCGACAGCACCATAAGCAGGTAAAGTAAAGATGTCGATATTAGCCAGGAATGATACTTCTGTTCATGATGTTTGCACGGCGTAGGACACGCCTCGCTTTTCATTCAAGTAGTGCTCGGTGTGTTACAGAGATACCCCAGCATTCATCGACACCCATACCCAATGAGTAGGAGGCACCTATGCATGCGCAGAAACACCACGACCATGATACATCACACACGCACAAACACCCCGCCCCACCCAAAAGCGACGAATAGATTTGGTATCATGAGATAGAAGACTTTCGGACGGCGGCGGCGGCGGCGGCGGCGACAGCTGCGATAACAGAATGTAGGTAGGAATTGGTCCGAATACGAGAAAAAGAGCGCGCTTCTCGGTGTTGATGTTGTTGTTGTCGTCGTCGCCCTTATAGCACCGCGACGGCGACGCCGGCAGCCACCAAGGCCAGGTTGAGGCCGTGGTTCATGGAGAGAGCTTGAGCGCCGCTGTCCGAGGACGTCGTCTTTGTCGCGGTGGACGCGTCGGCGGTGGACGTGGACGTGGTGAGGAACTCTGCACCGCCGTCGCCCGAGCACGTGTCTCCGTCCGGGCAGCAGCCGTAGACGTCGTTGTCGCCGAGCTGGCAGGTCGAGGTGGCCGCGCAGCCACCCTCGAGGTCCGGGCAGCACGTGTAGTCGCTGGGGATGCAGTAGGCGCCGCAGGGCTTGTCGGTGGACTCGCACGACGTGGCGTTGCCGGTGGCTCGGGTGAGGAGCGTGTGTTGTGACCAGGCCGACGCGAGGAGGGGGAGGGCGGTGAGCAAGTAGAAGAAGGACCGCATATTGGCTCGCTTCTTTCTCGCTTTTTTCGTTGGTGTGTACTTCGTGCGTGTGTACGTGTAAATGTGGTAGGGGTTGTGGGTGCAGCAGGTGTGGGCACTTGTCCTGGTATGGTTCGCGAGTTGTACTGATGTATCCGTACGGCGAGATGCTTTTCCGCTGGGACACACAACCAGTCAACAACGGTGAAGGCTGAACGGCACTTTTGGTCGACGAGCAAGAGGAACAACAACAACAAAAAAAAGAGAGGACGCCCCGATTGATTGTTGAGTGGGCAGCTCACTGTAGTAAGTTGGTCAGGTAGGTCGTGCGGTTAAGGGGTTGGGAATATAACCGGCGAGAGTCCAAACAAAAAGTGAGTGGAAGAACCAAACTCTTATCTTTAAACTCACACAGTAGGCCTCTCTCTGGAGCACATTTATTATCAAGGTCGCTCGTGACGCTGTTTTTCGGTAAAAGAGTGCCCAGCCCCAAGTCTTTTTTGTGTTTTTGACACCACGTTGTAATCTGGGCTGGCGGCTGGGCGCCATGGTAAGGTGATTGGTTTTCTCGAGCGCGACACGAAACTGTCTGGGGGGGCGCACACAATCGACAAGAAACTGAAGTCTGTATCCGTATACTGGACGTGCCAGGCTGGGCTCCGCTCCTATCGTAGTCTAAAACGTCCATGCGCAAGGCTTGTTTGCTGTTTCGTGACAAGACCAAGACTTACCAGCCCAGTGTCCTAGCCACTGACGGTGGCGTATGGAGATTGCAAAATGATACCGAGTCGTGTCAAGAAACTATTGCTGGGCTCGGGTACAGTAAAAAGCAGGGTAACCACCTTCAAAACGGAGAGTGCTCTGTACCGCATGCACAAGTGTCACTTGGAGCTCCAAGTCAAGCCGTCGCACAAGCGATCCTTTTGCCGGACGCGCTGCTCAGTCGTACTGTGTGCAAGTGATAGCGGTCGCAACCAGCCACGAACGCGATCCGACAAAGTTTCTCGACTTGCTTGGCCGGAGTCACTTCAGATTTGAATTCACCTAGCCGCGTGCTCAGAATCCCTCTTGTGCAGGAAATTTGACTCGCGACCTGCGAAAATGAAGAACTGCCCAGACAGCCAAGAATGCCCGTTTCCTCAGGGGAAATTTGGCCAAGCCGACAAATAGGGGGACGAAAGGCGCGAGGCCTCAGCCTGATTTCGATTCCGCCCGACAGGTCAGGCTTGTGGGTTGGCCCTTTCGGGGATTTTTCTTGATCGTTATTTTTGTCACCTGGAGGAGAACCATGTGAGAGATGCTCTCCCAATGGTGGTTTCTGCCGTTATCGGGTTCTCGGTCCTGACATCGATTGACTGGAGGAATAGTCGTTTCAGCCGCGCTCAGGAATCAGAATTGCTGGTACAATAACAGCGGCGCCGGATCGGACAAATGTTGATCCCCAGAACGGTACGAGCATCCGGACTATTTGCAAAACGAACAGATTTTGAAGGCCGCCTCAAAGCCATTCCATTGATCGAGGTATACATAGGTAAGGAAACTATTACTATAATGATGAGTACGTAAAGCCTGGTGCCGTTCTTTTTGTGGGGGGTTGACATCGAAAACCATGTGCTACATAGCAGTACTGTTTGTCCACTCTGAAATCATGGTCTCTTGATCACCGCCCGCTTGAACCCAGAAGGATGGAAAATTGGTATTACAAAGAATAATAAATGGAATCGACGCAGCCCAGCATCAGCGAGCGACGTTCAAGAGCCTCCGTACCCACTGTCGGCAGCGTCGTCGAGAGCATGATTCACCAAAGCATCCGCCTCCCTGTTCCATTCGCGTCCAACACGCCAAAACCGAATAGCCATTTCTTCCTCCATCTTTGTGATGGTTGCGTGAATCTCCCGGATGATGTCACCGTGCTCGACCGGGGTGCCCTTTCTGGTGACATAGCCGTTCCTTTCCCAGCTCCAGATCCATTCGCTGAGGCTTCTTGCGACATAGTCCGAGTCACACTTCACAATGACCTCTCTCCAGCCATCCAACTCACCAGCCTCCTTCATGCCCTGAATGATGTCGAGAGCCTTGCGGACACTTTCCAGCTCGGCACGTGAACTGGTCTGCAGATCAGTTCGAGCAAGCAACCCCCAGGCATTGCGTGGGCAGTCAGGTCCAAAGTACACGCCCCACGCTGCTCGAGATTTGGGATCAGATCGGTTGTTGCCGCGCGAGCCACCGTCGACTGAAACCACCATTGTTCTCATACGTGGCTGCCAATGAGCACCGGGGAAGGGAAAGTTGTACAGTCGAGCATACTTCCACTTTGGGCTGTATCGAACCAAGTAGTCGGGGTCGAATGTTATGCGTCCATAACGACGTGTCTTTCTGGGATTGAAGTTGCGCCGTGGACGTGACTGTGGCCGGAGTCAATTCTCTCATACTCACAAGGCTTGCTTATACATACGAGATCCGTGTCCATGATTTTGGAGAGACTACTAATGCTGCTGCTGCAGGTGCTGCGGGTGCTGCAGGATCAAACGAGTGACAGTGAGAGTTGGATAGTTACCTGAGCACGAGGGACGCAGAATTGAGTGCGTGCGCAAAATACTCCTTATATCTCTGTATGGCCATAACGTGGGTCATAGCTGCTCGGGAGAAAACAAACAACATCCGAAAGATCAAACAAAGCCCAAACATACCTGACGATCAAAAAAACGTGACGGTATGATGCCGGCCGCAGAGTAACAAAGACAGGATTTCCAAAATCTGTTGTTTTCTTCATTTGTGTGTTTCGTCCGGGCGGGCTGGTGCAGCGGAAAGAGGCTGCTCCGGATCTATGCACGCAGGGGGCTCGTCAGGGTACCAACCTGAAGCACTTGAATGAATGTCTGACGGCAGACGGCATCCAATTCCGTATCACCAGCGAGGTGTGGCTTCAGAGGGACGGCTGCCCAGTCGGCCTCCGCATGGCGGTTTGACCAATTGCGAACTAAAGCTGTGATTGAAGGAATCTCAAACACAAAACACAAAACGATGAGGAAGATGCGCAACATCCTGTACCTAGTTACCCTGGTACAGTAAAAGCAGAAGGTAGAGCGATTGCGGATGACTAAGGAATTCTCCCGTTGGCTGCCGTCTCTCTTTTCGCTGAACGCCAAGCACAGACCTGGGCAGAGCAGAGACGCAGGGCCAAAGCAACTGGATAAATGGTGAAAGCCTCAACGCTCCGACATCACCACGCTGAAGGCCAGACATGATCATCAGACAGTTCTGTGCCCGTCATGGTACCTCTCCCCCTCTGTAATCCACTGGTTGGTCGATGCTCACCCATTTCCCTAGGCCGCTCTGCGCTGTCGCAGTCAACGCGGACCAGGGTAAGGTCGTATGCGGACAGCAGAAGTGTCGACAACCCGACCTTCCGACCGTCAGAACGAGACCCCAAACCTCGTCCCGCGATACCGGGCCACCCCGATGAACCGTCCAGCATTCTCGACAGCACCAGCAAGCCCCCTACGGCGGCGACGCGGACGGTGGAAGAAAAGCTCGAAGACCAGAAAAAGTCGATGCAATCCCTCCACGCCGACGTCAACGCCCACATCATGGCGCGGATCCAGAGCTTCCACAGCGAGCCCGCCGCGCCGCTCTCGACGAGCGAAGTCAAGAGGGAGAGGCCGGCGCCCCTCGAGAAGCCCAAGCGCGTCGACACCACGCCGTTCAGGAACCTGCAGGACCTCAACCGGCACCGCAGGCGCGAGCAGAGGGAGGCGCGCAGAGTCACGCACCTCGTCCAGACCTACGACCCAAACTCGCTCCTCCGGGACCCGCCGACGCCGTCCAGACTCACGCTGCCCATGCTCCTCGCGAACCAGACGCACCTCGGCCACGCCACGTCGCTCTGGAACCCGGCCAACAGCAGCTACATCTTCGGCGTCAGGGACGGCATCCACATCATCTCCCTGGACGCGACGTACGCCTACCTCCTGCGCGCGGCCAAGGTCGTTGAGGAGGTCGCGAGGCGGGGCGGCATCATCCTCTTCGTCGGCACCCGCGACGGCATGGAGGACATCACCGTCAACTCGGCCAGGCTGGCCGGCGGCTACCACATCTTCCACCGTTGGGTCCCCGGCAGCTTGACCAACGGCCAGCAGATCCTGGGCTCGGGCCGCGTCAAGGTCGTCGACATCCACGACAACGAGCTCGAGGAGTACAGCAGGAAGTTCACCCCGGGCAACCACACCCCCATGAGGCCCGACCTGGTCGTGTGCCTGAACCCGCTCGAGAACCAGGTCTGCCTGCACGAGTGTGGACTGTTCAGCGTGCCCACCATCGGCGTCATCGACACGGACGCCAACCCGACCTGGGTGACCTATCCCATCCCCGCCAACGACGATTCGGCAAGGTCAATCGCCCTCATCGGTGGCCTGTTGGGCCAGGCGGGCAAGGAAGGACAGAGGCGGCGGAAGCTCGAGGCCATGCGTGGCGAGGCCACATACCCCCACGACCATCTCGGCAAGCTTTTTGAACAGATGGACTTGAGGGCTTCGATGAACGCCGAGTCAGAGCAGTAGTCACGAGGATCAATCTCTTGTTTGGAGACCCAATTATCAAAAGACGGCGCCTGGCACCTTGAATTCATTGTACACATGTATGATATAGAAAATTGGTGAAAAAGCGACTTAATTTTCTACTCCTTCCCTCCTGACAAGTCAGTGCATATTGCATTAGCCAAGGTTATAGTTCATCCCGGATTCTCGAAGCGTGACCTAAGTACATATTCGTAGCCCACTGTTTCACAGACGGTTGTGCCTGTAATGAGAATAATTGCTCGTGAGATTCAATCAATCAATCAATCAGTGCAAGACTGCCTTCCTAGTCAACCACGGCCGATGTCAGGAAAATAGGGGATGGCAATTTTGAAAATGGTCAATAATTTTTGGAGGTGGCTCTGACGCTGACCGCCCTCCACTGCTCATGTCGAATCTGCTGCCGCCACGACCGCGCAGCTCCCCGAGCATCCTGGCATTTTCCGTGCAGTCTGGCCTCTGTTTCATTTGTTCGCTCAATTTGTCCCTAGCCGGAGACCCATATACTATAGCAAGGAGTCCAGCCTTGTAAACACGCTCAAACATGCTGCGACCACCTAATTCATCTCTGTTAGCATTCCATCCCAGACAGACCAGGCTAGGGAATTCCATCACTCACCTCGAGCTGTAGCTCTTTGTCTTTGTTCTTCTCAACTTCGTCTCCGACTACCTGGCCTATGTTGGCTCCAATACCTTGACTGCCTCCAGTTCGTTTGGCAAATGGCCACTGACTGTACTCCGCCAGGAGTTCATCGACCTGTGCGAATGCTCGCTCTCTTGCTTCATGGCCCATAGTCGCCAGAGCGTTCTCGAGAACGTTTGCCGCATAGGCTGCACAAACCATACTGATCGTTCGGAGCATTCTGAATTCGAGCTCTGCAGGGAGAAATTGCGAGGGAGGGAGGACAACAGTGCGATTTGAACAGACGTTCCGGACTCGTTTTCGGATTTCGTCTTTGGCGCCAGAGTCGACCACAGGATGGGTAGCCATATCGAACAAAAGGAAGTTTCGTTTCTCCGTGCGCAGAATACCCTTATCTACCAGACCTTTGGCCAAGCGCTCTCGAACTTGTTTCAATTGGTAGCCAATCTTCATGAGGTTCCAGGTCTCGCCTTTAGAAAGATATTAGTTGGATTGATGTAGAAGAAAGCCATTTTCCCTCACCGCTCATAAGATCGATCCAAGAGCTGACGCTCATTTTCTCACTCGACTTCATCATCTTCAAAGCCTCGTCGAGAAGGACTTCCCCCGTAAGTGTGTCATCGACGACTTCGATTATTCGGTCGGCCAGAGGGAAGCGTCTCCGACCAGAATCGTTTTGCATGCTGATACGACCCCGGAAGGCCAATTCGATAACTATGCACCCTCGCAGAGCATACGATATGTTATCATTCCAGAATGAGAGGTATCCCTAATCGTGTCGAGTCAGCGTTTCTCCTTGCGTCCTGGAAGTCATGTGTCCCAACCTGCTTATCCTTCAGGCCTAACAACAAGATCTCCTCCATCAGTGTCAACTTGGGTTGTTTACTACGTTCGGCGCTCTCGGTGAGATCCCTGGGATCGTAGGCAATCCTGTGGCCATTCTCGCCGTTCTCATATGCCGTGTCAGGAGTGCGGTCAGGATAGTTTTTGGGACCGGGAGAAGCCACGCGGCTCGACTCTTCATCTCCGTTTGGCGAGGTCACCCCCCCTGCGCCACGCCTCCGCGTGAGGCCTCCTTGGGAGGCCATCAAACCGTTGTCGATGTCTCACCGGGCTGTGACTGGAAAAAAAGTTGCGGAGGTAGAGGGTGCTGCGGAGTTGGCGCGAATGTCTCGTGCTCAGCTCCTTGCTAGGGCGGGATCCGCAAGGGCAGATTCGTTGGGAGAAGGCTGATAGGTGGGTATACACAGAGGGGCTCGGGTATTCGAGGAAAGGAGTGACTGAGAATGATCTAGAACAGAGCGTGGATTGCTGGCGAAAGCAATCGCTGGGAAAGGATACCGTGACTTCAGCGTTCCTCGTTCTCGATGGGTTGGATACAGTGGCCCAAATGCGGCGAGCAGCCAGTGGAGAGAAGAGACGCGCCAAGACCATTCAGGGATGGGCGCCGCCCGGAGTATTTTGCAGTACTCCGTCGCTTTACAGGTAGTCCCTAGTAGTCTGTAGACTTTCTTGTTTATCTGCACCTCAGCGTCAAGACTACGGTGCGTTCAACTGCTAGAACCAGCACGGCGCAACGGGCAACTGATATGTCGGATGGGATTGTCTGAAGCTCTTGGGCAACAGGCATGAGCAATTGCCTTGTGAACATCCCTTGGGAAGGCGCCCCGTGGGATTGAGAGTCAGATAAGGCAGGTGCTAATCGAGGTACTCTGTCCTCCCTTTTTCCAGCTCGGGTACGAGTACGAGTACGAGCACAAGGACACATGCACCGTTCACAACCAAATGCCATCAACACCTCAAGTACAGAACATCCAGGATCATCTACCGGTAAGATCTCCGTCATCCTCGTCTCTTTGACCCTTTCGATATCAATTCTCGGCAATGGTCGATTGCACTAGTCATCCAGAAAGAGAGTCGCGCAGTCAGACCACGCCGCCCCCTCTCCGCATTGACGGCGAAAAGCCAAAACCTCACCCGTCAGCCTGTATCCCATCGTTCCATCCCATCCCTGTTGCAGTTGCTCGTGGCGTCACATGGAACTTGGCTCTTTCATTGGATGCCAACCTTTTGTATGTGGTCAGGCACGGTTTCCGGTCGCCTCTGCCCCTCTATATAAAGAGGCTGACGCTGGCTGCTTGGGCGGCACCTATACCTTGACTGAACATGTCTTTGGAACGTCATTCCCTAGGTAGCTGTGCCTATTAACCCTTCTATCTGCTTCCGGCGCCGTCCCAGGTATAAATAACCCGGAACTGTTGCGCTTGTCTCTGTGACGCCCTTCTTACGTATTTGCTCTCACCCTGCCTTAAACCAGGCGCTTTGTTTCTCGTCTATTGTACAAGGAACAGCATACGCCAGATCCAGCAGCAGTTACAATGTCTCGAAAGATTCCAGTGATCACGCTCGAAGAGCACTTCATTTCCCAGGCAATCCTTGACTACTATGATCAACAGGGGCAACAGACCACCCTTCCAGAATCACATTCTCACATCATGAGCTCGCTGCGAGAGGTTGGGCACCAGCGTCTCAAGTCGATGGATTCCGGCCGGGTGAGCTTGCAGGTCATCTCTCACCGACCCAACTCTATCCCAATTCCGCCAGAAATTTGCACAGCGGCCAACAATGAATTATACGAGGCGATCAAGTCATCCCCTCGCCCGGAACGTTTTGCCGCCTTCGCAATGCTTCCGACTCTCCACCCCGAAGCCGCCGCGAAAGAACTCAAACGTTGTGTGTCCGAGTTGGACTTTGTCGGCTCCCTGATAGACAATCAGACTGACGGACGATTCTACGACGACACATTTTTCTGGCCAATATTTGCCGCTCACGAACAGCTGGACGTGCCGGTCTATCTCCATCCCGCACCACATCCGGTGCCCAGTGATTCCCCGTTCCAGGGTAACTATGCACCTCAAGTGGCCACGTTCCTTGCGAATCACGGCTTCAGCTGGCACGCAGAGGTTGCCCTGCACGTCATCAGACTGTTTGCATCGAAACTATTCGACGCCCATCCGAACCTCAAAGTGCTACTAGGCCACATGGGAGAAATGCTCCCATTCCAACTAGATAGGATACACAAGCTGATCCAGAAAACATGGCCCGTGTCCTTGAAACCTCAGCGACACCTCCTCCAAGTCTGGCATGAGAACATCTACATCACAACCGCCGGCATGTTCAGCCTTGCCCCGATGGCCTGTCTGATCCACATGTGCTGCGCCGACAAGGTCCTCTATAGCGTTGACTACCCCTTCTGCAGCAATCAAGACGGGCTGCGATTCCTGTACCAACTACGGAACAGCGAGATGGTCAACGATCAAGACTTTGAAGCCATCACCTACAGAAATGCCGCACGGCTCTTGGACCTGAAGATCACCGAGGACAATGATGTTGGAATTGAGGTTGACGAGGATGATGACGCAGATGGGTACCGTCTGCGGCCTTGGTTGTCTACCGACAGCGCCTCGGGTAATATTAATGGCGGCCCCGACTTTGCACGCTCGCCACTCGAGACCGTCAAAGAGTAGATAAGCCTTGAGGTGCAACACAGCGGACAGCATTCACGGACATTGTTTGTGTGCGTGTGTGTGTGCCCACGAGGAAAGGCTAGTGGAGATGCGGTCGTACTTTGTACAACCCACAAACGAACGTCGAGTTAATTTCTTACTCATGTCTTACTATGTGGATTTGGCGTGCGTTCCATTCCCATTTCCATCTCCATCTTGAATCTTCCGATGGTTTACGGAATGCATGGCTGGAAATGATATGATGACAATCAGCATGGGGGACCAGAGTACACCTAAAGGTAGGTCTTCACCGTCCTTGAGCTCACTTTGGGTTCGTCGGGTACCGAGTACTGGCTGGTGCTTAAGAACAGAAGAGTATAATCTGGATATAAAGAAAAGCGATTTCGATGAGTTAGGAAAGTGGATTCTTAAACGACTCGTCGATACTACAATAAGTAATATCTGCGAGTTTGATTATCATCCCAGGTTGTCTTCCGTCTCACGTCCCCGTTTTTTGGATCCAGCGTCACACCCACCGACTACATACGGTTTCCTTGGAAATCGACGCGAGTAAAGTGTCTTTACAGTATCCGTACAGTATGTTGCTCGCCGTGATGGAATTCTGTGACCAGAGTAGACTGTTAGAGTAGACAAGAGTTGTCATTCCAACTTGAAGTTAACACAACCCACCTGCCCACCCTGGGGACGTTATACCGAATATCTTCTACATATAGCTCCTCCATCGTACCGTGGTGCTTACTCGGTTTGTATCTGTCTCGTCACGCTCGCACTATACCGTCCCAGACCCGAACTTTTTCTTTTTTGTTTTTTCTTTGTCAGATTATGTGGGTTCGTCCCTTTTTGTCGAGGTCGAACCGCCTCGCTCGCTCACTCACTCCAATGCCGCGTCGCCGTTGGTGTGTCCGACGCCAAAACCGGACTTTGGTGAACGTAGGTGCTCCGTACCGCACATGCTTACCTACCTAGGGTACGAGTACCCCCCTTGCATTGCATACCCACCCTTCGAGTAGATACGGAGATACATACCTCCCAGGTTCCTGGTAGGTACCTGGCCGGCGACCACCTTGGTTGGGTACGTAACTCGTGACGACCGCCTCAAGCGTACAGGTGAGGAAGATATGGGACCCTCATAACAGTAATCCTCCAAAAGAAAAACCCAGAAAACCAGAAACCCACCCCCCCCCCCCC